ATTCTATGATTCTACGATTCTGTGATTCAAAAACATCTTTCCCTCTCCAAAATCCTTTAATATACTAACTCTGCTTTCCAATGCACACAAGAAACATCTGCTCTGGGCAAAACCCACAACACTAATCATGATTTAAGAAGGTTCCTGCATCTTTCTAGGACATCTGAACATACTAAAGACTCTGCCTTATTCTGTTCGCTCAAAAATCCAAGCAATCATCAGGCATCTTTTAACCACAAATTTATCACTAATCATGCCTATTGGATAACATTTATCAGGATCTTCAGAGCAAAGTTTTCTTGATTTTGGACAACATTTTAGATCAGACAAGCCGGAATGGCTGTAGTTAAATATAAGACCGAAAAATTACTGTGAATTTGTAGGAATACCTTCAAAATCATAGACGTGTACTGAAAAAAGTGCTGAAGAAGCACAAAAGACCAAAGTCTCACTTTCAAGTGACAGACTGATAGTCCAAGACCCACATCTTAAGTAGCAAATTGAATAGTACCACGGAACATTTCCAGACACCTGAGCACTATTCTCCTCTTAAGTCTGTCCTTGGCTGACCTTTGCCTGAGGCCTGCTAGCACATCCACAAGGAAGTCCTGAAAGCAATTCAGACATTAGCAGGGATCATTCTCAAAAGGTCATTTTCTTGCAACTTTAGGTATGCTGGGTATTTTGTGCCAGTTGGCCTCAGAGTCAAAGACTGGTCTGTGGCACATTTAATGTGCTAGTGCAGCTGTGGTCACTGTCAACTGAGAAGACTTAATATCCTGGGCATTTAATTGTTTAATGTACATACCTGCACTAGTAGTTTTTTTGCATTGCTAGAGTGCTTTCTTGTTTTGGGTTTAGGTTTTCTTTTGTTGATTTTTTTTTTTTTTGAGGGTGTTGGGGTTTTTTTTTTTTCTTTTTTATTTCATACTATTAACTACAAATGTACAGGAGAGCGTGTGCACTTACAACACAATCTCCATTATTCATGTCAGTAACTAGTGGAGGCACACTTTTCTTTGCTCCATGATCTAATGCTTGAACACAGAATAAATCTGAAGGAACAGAGAGCTTAACAGAAACTGGTTTGGCTCTTTCCTGTTTAAGAAAGGGCAAGAGAGTCTTACCAAAAAGAACAAATGTGCTCCAACTACTTGTTATCTCTATCTTCTTCCTTTCTGCAGTGTAACACCACAGCAGAACTGAAGAAATCTTTCTAGGTGAACTACATACGTTTTCCCTTTCACAAATGTAAATACATTTCTACTTATTTAAATAAAATCCTATTTATGTCACCGTGCATCAAATCATGAATTCAGTACAACTCTTACCTGTTTCAAAGTAGTGTTTGGCATAATTATCTGAACTCTAATAGAAAATAAAGTTCAGTACTTGATCTCAAGACCAAAAAGCCATCCATTTTTACCTGACACCGAAGCAGGCAGGATAGCCTGGCCCACAAGTCCTTGCTGAAGTAAATTTTGATCAAACTGACTGGTCAAAACAGAGTTATTCATGATGAAAACATTAGGGTCCGTTGAGGATGAATTAAGAAGGCTGACTGGTTGTAGTCCCTCAGCTGAAGTACGGGCTACAGGCTTCCTAACTTTCTTTGTCTCTGACTTGTAATGGCACTGTATGTGGGTCTTCCTGCGCCCCGAGGTGCGGAACCGCAGGTCACAGTGGGGGCACTTGAAGGGCTTGGCTCCCGTGTGCAGCCGCATGTGGACCTTCAGGCTCCCCTTCGTGGAAAACGAATTGCTGCACACATGACAGCTGAAGAGCTTCTGGCCTGGACAAGTATCAAAAACAGAAAAACAAGTGATAAACCCTCTGAAAACCAATAGCACTGTACCAGTAATTTTAAAAATACAGACTCTATACTAATTTGAACGGAGTAAATGTGAAATAATTAGCCTTTTTCTTTATAATTTTGTCTGCTTTTCCAAATGTGTTGAGGATCTCAATTAAGGGTATCTTTTTTTCCTATTTGTAAAACTCAATATGCTGTTAAAACTTTCATGCAGAATCTTATTTGATCATTTTGGCGCCTCTGTCCTCCTCATTATCACACCTTCCTGACTAATCAAGTTGTTTTAACTACAGAGCTCATAAAACTGAAGAATTAAGTTTCATCTTGACCTTCAGCATTTGGCTTCTCCTTACTCATCCACTCATTTCCTATTAAATTCCAGCACTTTTATTCTTCTGTTACAGCCTTTGCCTCAATCTCCTTAAAGATCACACAACATTTCAAAAAATCCTTGGTCTCAAATGGAAATATTAACGCACTACAAATAAGAGTTAACTAGAGTTCTTTTCATTAACCATATACGCAGTTGTACAATTCACATAGAACAACGTAAATAACTGTCAGAAAACATGCCACTGTAGCTGAAAACCCACAGTAACTCGCAAAATTCCCTAAAATTTTGTATAATTGTCTCACCAAAGAATAAAAGCAAGGCTTCTCTATAGATGTGATAGAAAAATACTTTTGAAAAATCATGGCAGTACTCCACATAACTAAGTTATCCTTTTTACCTGGCAAGTCATTAGATCAACCCTAAACCAAACTGACTCAACATCCAGATCAGAATGCACTACTGTACTCTGGTGACATGAGTCATTTACTTGTGAAAATCAACATGTGCCTATGAGTCCTGCTACTGAGTTCTAGTTCCCACTTAGACAGAAGCAGCTCTCTTCAAATGCCCGAATTACAATTCAGCCTGCTTCAGATTAGAGATTTAGATTACAAAATACTAACACTGCCCTCACGGTGTTCAACAGAACTAAGTGAAGCTCTGACAACATTCTGTTTCAAATAATGGAGAAGAAAGAGACCAAGAATAACATGAACCAGTAAGACAAGAGGCATCTGGACTGTAACAAAGCTGTCTCCCACAACAAAAATAATCTAAGTACTTTCTAACTAAAAACAAAAAAACACCTATTGGGAGAAGGGCAGGGAGCAGGGAGAGAGAGAGAACGGAGAAAGAAAAGTGCATTAATGTTTCAATGTTTATTACAGATGAAGTCAGGTAGGTTCCTATCCAGGTAACTTTCTTCCACAGGTGATGACAAAGAGCTTTTCAAACTGAACTGTTGTAAGGGGAGTTCCAGACAATCACCCTGTAAATTTTTTTTTCCTGTTCATTTAAATAAGTAAGGCTCAACATAAAACCAAGGAGAAAAGGAGACCAGATTTTCACTTGCAAACTGTATATGGATTTTTTGAGTTTTACACTAGTTTTATATGAAAGGACCTCAGAAAAAACTGCCGTCACAGAATGAAAGGACAGAGTCCTTTCATGGATTAAAGAAAAATAGTTATAAGACTGAAAACAAAGGCAGGACTATGTGGACAATTTTCACAAGGCTGGAGCAAGGGAGTTCTTTAAGCACCTGAGTGAGGACCCAAGCTAGTCAAAATTATAATACCCTTGATGTGGAAAGACAGCATGAAAAACAGGTTGGAAAAATCTGTTAAGGGTACCAAAATGATTTACAAAGTTCTGTTTTATATTTAAAATTCTGTAAAATCATAAGTATCTTGAAAAAAAGAAAAATGGGAAAATATTTCTTACAATTTCTCAAACAAAAGAACTAGCAGGCACAGGAACAAAATTATCATGTGGCACACTGGAAACCAAATTTGCATCAAAGAACCTATTACTACTGCATGTATTGGAAGTCATTAATTTTTACCATTTTTCAGGGTTCTGAAAACAATAGGATAAAACTAATGCAAAATATTCCATAAAGTAGCAAGCAAAAAAGATTCAATCCCTAGTTCCAAGTCCCACAGCTTGCAAAGTGTTTGAATCTGGAGGAATGTGAACAAATCCTCCATTTGTTTATTACCCTTAGGATCTGCTACTACCTGAGATGAGACACTAATCTACCCAGAGATCTGGTGTAACTCACAATGGTATTTCTTACTGAACTGTAGAAAGTACAAATACACTCACTGTATTGGAAAGGGAGCCATAAGCAAAGTAACTATTACAGCATTAAAAGTTTTCTTTTTCTGACATTTTTGAAAAAAGATTATAATGCTCCTTAGCAAAGCTGTAGCCAGTTTTAGAAATTAGTTTAGGATTGGGTTTATTACAGAAGCTCAATGGTAAGACAAAAGCAAGTATGAAATATTTGAACTGTCTTTTTAATTTACACAAAACTCTGTTTGAAAAAATGATGCTACTAATATCAGAACTCTCTCGGATACAAAGAAATTACTGTAAAATCTTAAATATTACAGAAATCAGATTTTCAATTTGCATGATTCAAATAGGTGAATATTCTAATTTTTTACACTCTCATTTTCCAATCTACTTAGCAGCACAAACACTAAAGAAAAAAAACCTATAAATGTTCATTTTATAAATCCTCCCAACTCCTCTTGATCAGGAAAATCATTTAGCACTGAAACGCTACAGCAAACTTGAAACTAAAATATTACAGATGCATACATAGATTTGCCATGAGCTAAGACTGTTTTATAAGCCTATTTATACAGAGGCTTACAATAATATGGTTTATTTAAAACATCATAATAGGGGTCATTTGATGATGACAGTAAGTGCCAAATTTCACCTAGCACTGCCATTCCTAGTGCTGTTTCCCAGTTCATAGTGCAACACACCGTTCCTTGTAAAATCTTTAGTTACAACAGTCTGCCAAGAAAGTAACTGGTTTCTAAATATAGGTATTCAAAATCCTACTGACCTGTGTGTGTTTTAACATGGCAATCCAGAGTAGATTTTACAGTGAAACTCTTTCCACATTCTTCACACTTATATGGCTTCTCCCCAGTATGGATACGAACATGCCTAATGATTTCAGGACACATGTCTATGTGAATTTCTACTTTTACCTCAGTTTCTAGAAATACTTATTTTGTATCTTACTAATTTTAGAATTAATCAAATACTTCTATTAACACTAAATGAAGCATAAACAGTAAAGATGATGATTTATGCATTTGCTTTTTCTCAAACTTATTTTTACATGTTTTTATATGCAGGATCTATAGCAAGAAAAAATAATTTATTCCCAAACATCATAATTTTAATACTACAGGAAAAGAAATATGAAAAGTCTGGTTTAGTCATATTCAGAACATGTAACATTTTGACACATTTTTAAACTGTTCTGAAAAAGAAAAGCGTATGTAAATGACTCAAACTTCAGTTTAGGCATAAGCTAAGTTCCATGAAGCTGTTACAGCTAAGTTTCTCGTGAACAATTTAGGAAATTGAAAAGGCACAAAACTTTTCCATTCCTTACCTGACTAAATCACTGGGTTTTTTAAAGCTTTTGGGACAATAACTACAGCAGTTGGCATATTTGGGCTCTGCTTCCAGTTCTGCTTGCTTATCTTTGATCTCACTAATTCTGTCTTTCTCTGCAGCAGACTGGACAAGAACTTTTTCGGAGACAGTGGCACTTTCTCGAGGCCTGATCTTTGCCAGTTCTGCTGTTTCTTCCTCTGTAAAAGTTATCACACCAGGACGAGATTTTCTGGAAGTCCTTTCAGAGTTTTCATCATCATCTTCAACACATGCAACTATTAAAAAAAAAAAAGACATCTGTTTAGTTTGATATGTCTGCTGAAACTATAAAAATAGAAGAACTTAGTATTAACCACATGGCCACTACATTACATGCTTGGACTTCATCTCTTTCAGAGGTCTACCCATTCATGTCTGTACTTCTTTTAAAAAAAGATGGATTTATGATTCTTATTTTTACAATAATCCAATACACGTATGTTCTTTAGGAAAAAAACCAATTGCTCTACTTCAGTGACACACTAAACTACATAAAATACAATACCTTGAATACACTGGACAGACTCCTAGAAAACTGATTTCTTTAAATAATTTAGGTAACAAAGCAATTTCAGTGGCTTTGGACATTAGATATTATCCATGTTGGAAGGCTCATTTATAACATTACTGTTATAGCTATAGCATTCATGTAATCCACTGAAACATCTGTACTTTTTATGTAGCAAAGACTGTAAGAGTAAAAGTGAAATTTACCTCCCCCTCCTGTTTCTGTAGCTGCTGCTACAGCTGAAGAGACTGCCTGATGTTTTTTCATATGTTTTTTGCAGTGAACAGTTGTTCGAAAGCTTTCATCACAGAATGGGCACTTGTAAGGCTTCATGCTCATGTGAGTTGCCATGTGCCTGGTAAGGCTGCCATTAGTTGTGAAGGAGGTATTGCAAATGCTACAGCTGAATGCTTTAACTCCTTGAAGTAACAGAAACAAAGAAGTAGCATGCCATTTGTTTAGGTTTACTTACACAGGACATTTACAAAACCCAGATGTGAGTTAAGATAATGCAGAGCTGGTATACCCTGTTACCTGTATGCGTCTTCTCATGTGACTTAAGAACTCCTGAGGAAACAAAGCCGCGGCCACAGAGTTGGCATTTATAAGGTTTCTCACCAGTATGTGATCGTACGTGTTGTTTCAAATGGCTGGATTTCTTAAAACCCTTGTTGCAATATTCACACCTATTAGAAGAAAATTGGTTTTGTTAGTTGCATATAATTACTAGCCATAAAAGATTCACGAAATTGTGACAGAACCTAAAATTATTACAAACCTATATGAACGCCTGCTTTGATCTTCGTTATCCTCAAGAAAATGAGGCCGTTGGGTATGCAATTCAAGTTCCTCTTGTGATGGCTGATCTTGTATCAAGCGAGTAGTCTAGAAATCAAAGCCTCAAGTAAATTTCAGTAACACAATACTGAAAGAAATCACACAAATAAGCAAGAAAAAAAAATCACAGCATTTACAGCCACCACAAGTAATCGAATTCATGCTTTCACAAATTTTTGACAAGAAATAAAGAGTGTGAAATGATACCTCATTCTTCCATAGTGAGAAGGAAAGCAGTAAAATGTACACCTACTGAACTGGAATGAACAATGTGGTGCACTTACACCTCCCTCTGAATCTACACAAAACCATAACTCGAGTCTTGTACATTTTCTGGTGTTTGAGGAGTTAAATTTAACATTAAACCAGCCATTTTAAACAGTATGACCCCCACCACTGAGTAGCTAAATACACTGTGGTGCTGACAGTCTTCACTACTTTTTGAACAGCCTTTCCCTCTAAGCAAAAACCACCACAGAGTTAATGCTGGAGAATGACAGCATGTTTTCAGATTTGAATATAAGAAAAATTCAAAGCCTCAATTACTCAAAATAAAACCAAAGCCTCGATTACTCAAAGTCTTGCAGATCCTAAAACCCAAACCAGTTCTCTGATGTTTGCCCATTGCAAAAAGAGACAATATGATATGCAGGTCATCATGGTAAAACAATTGCTACAGATGGTCTTCATGCCAAGTACTGCTACTATTATATAAATACTTGTATTTGAACTGTATTTTTAGCAGTTATTTTACAAATTTAGCCAGGTAAGAACCACTAAAAAACTTCATACACTGCAATATGCAAGCTCCATGAACAATCACAACACATCATAACGTCACTTTTACTGCTTGATCATATCTCTACCCATACGAAGCAAAGAATTAGGACACAATGTAAAAGTATTTGTAATAGTAGTATTTATATGTAAATATGTATGAATGTATAATTTATATGTTAAATTATTTTATAACATCAGGTCCTTTCCTTAGTTTTAGACTTACAATCCAACCCTATAGTATTATATTCTTTTTTAAGCCTAAAGTATCCAAACATACAACTCTTTCTTAGAAACATGTAGCTGGGTCACTTATCCTCCTCCCTGCACTTTTCCAGTTGTTAAACATCAGCAGTCTAGAAAATAAATCATCAAACTCTTCTGACTTCTCAGGTGACCCAATCACCAATGAAGTAATTCAAAGAAACTCATCACTGAACACAGAAGAATGAAATCTGCCTTCTAGCAGTACTTACTACATTAATAGCATCTGTACTTGGAACCTGAAGAAGAGCTGGTGGGTGGTAACTTGTTGAAAGAGCCTGAGATTCAAGTGTGCTTGAATCCTGCAGCTGCTGTACGGCCGGAAATTGAGTCTGTTGATTGTAGCTGTCATTGACTGTAAAACCTGCCAGAAATTAAAACAGTCACAAAGCTGGGAAATACACTCAACTGGACTTTGAATAACACCACACTTTATTGAAGAATACCTCCAAAAGAGATTAAGTACTATTACCATATAGCAACACTCATTTTATGCTCTTCACTGTTGAGTGTCAAAATACAGAAAGGTTTCTGGCGTCTATGTAATATGCGTAACAGGGTGACTTACCATGAGCTGGAATTCTATTGGAAAAATCTCCTCCACAGAAAAACACTGTTTGAAGTTTCTTCGGTGTGCCATAATTACCTTAGAGCCATTGAAATTTTGAATTTCTTGTATGTAAGCATGCATGTGTCAAACAGGTTGACCCATCTCCCTTTATCCACGTTGGTACCACGCTCCCTTAACTACACTGGAAGCCGATCACAAGGATGCAAAGCTCAGTGGGGAGGATGGCGGGTGAGTGGAGGAGATGACCCAATAGGAGAACTCCAGTTTCTGGTAAAGTAACCCCATTTTCTCCTACTTTGGATCTCCTCCACATATTCCCACGCTTTAGATAATAGTAAAGTAAAGCCTCTCAAAGGCAAACTGCAAAGTAAAAAATAAACATTTTTATTCACATTTCCAGTATAAAAGCCTGAAATTTTCATTTGGTTTTGTTCTGAAATATCAGATCTTAAGAACCTCCTTTTCTAAATGAATGAATGAAATGATAATGATCAATGATTCAGACCCAGAGAATTCAGACCCATCTCAGGTTGCATGGCTTTTTAATGCTATTAGGGATGCCCTTTTACCAATCCCTCTAAGCCTTAATACTTCTAATATTTTTTTTTTTTTTTTAAAATCAATGTTATGTGGAAAAAAAAATGAAACTCTTAGTATCGATAATTAAGGGCAGCAACTTTACTCTTTCTGTGCAGTTTGCCTTTAGTGGACAAAAAGGGTGAAGATTATGAGAACAGGGTAGAAACAAACCCACATCAGATGATCACAGCATCAAGGGCCAAAAAAGTAATGCTTAAAGAATTACAGTATATAAAAAAAATGGTATGTATGAAGTTTAAGCAGAAATTTTCTAAAAAGACTTTTCACAGCAGAAGAATACTGTCATCAGCAGAGGAAAAAAGCCTACTTGTATGCTATTGCTCACACCATAGAATGAAAACTAACAAACAAACAAACCTTGAACACATTATTAGTCGGGTTGTAACTTATCACCAAAATTAGTGATGCAATTTGTTTTCTCTCCTAGAACTACCAAGATTATAAGAAAAAGACTCAACAAGCTGAACCTTGCACCTCAGTTACTCTTAGTGAAATGACAGAAGGTAGCCTGAAGAACAGCAGTGCAAAGCTCTATGGTGATAAGAGAGCTGCCATTGCCTGTTCTCAAATACATTTTAAAAGCACCTTCATGGAAAAATGGTATTCCCATTACACTTCATGAGACCATAAAAAAACAAGCCTCAAGAAACTGAAGCAAAAAGGTGATGCTGCTTCCATGCCCTATGTAAAAAAAAAAAAAAAAAAAAAGGAGTAGCTATTAAAATTAAAAAAAAAAAGGTATTTATAAAACCCAAAGGTTTTTTTTTTTTTTAATTGGCGAGTAATTTTGACTAGCTAAGAAGGAGAAAAGAGGTTGCTATAGCATGACTTGTTTCACTTCATTGTTTTAATAAAAGCAATTATTGACACCCTGAAAAATTTCCCAGAATCATGTAACAAAACGCTCAGGAAGAAAAGTTCTGAATTTAAAGATATTTTGGGACAAACTGAAGAAGGAAATACTGCTTCTGAAAGTAGTTCTGGAATAAACAAACCAGTGCTGTAGCAAGAATATATATGATGTATCTCTATTTTGCTCAGTTCCTACTGAAGTATAAAGATCAATTTCCTCTCAAAATTTAAAAAAGATCTGATAAATTTGAGCATGCTGAAGGCATTTTCTACCACCCTACTACTGCTACAAAACAGCATTAAAATAATCAAAAAACCAAACACCAAAGCACAGACATTGAGTCTGAGATAGATACAGAAATGTATTTCAGAACCTTTGTCTCCTGTTCTCATTTTAATCATTATGTGGTTTCCCAGAAGGCTTTTCTTAATCTTCAAAGAATGGAGAGCATCTTAATCTCTATATAGTAAGGAGAGTCTCTTATTACAAAGTCCTCTAAACTTGGAATTGGATTTTGTGTTATTTCAGTACAAGTAATCACCTACACTGCTTGCGTTTTCTTTGCTAGAGGACATCACCCAACCTATTCTCCTTCCACACTCACAAAACACACAGGAAAAAACAGAATGCTCTGGAAATCAGTTCACTAGTGGAAAGATGTGTCTTGCACATGAGAATGAGAAAACAACAGTACAATAGGCTAAGGCAAATATTTTAGTGTAGGCAAAACTTGGAAGTCTTTAATGACAGATCATGTGAATTCTAACTTTGCAACCATATCTACATGCACACACACACACCTCGGTGGGAGTCACTGACTGGCAATTAAATGTTCTGCAGGTTTGCTTCCAAGGTCAGTTAGGAACCAGTTGAACAGTATGGACTAGAATCAATGTGTAAATAGTTACTGAAAGAGTTGGAATTCCAAATCTTGATATTGCAGATCAACTTCTTTGGAAAGCAAAACAGCAGTCTGGTGGCAAAGGTATATTTGTACAGGCTACAGAATAACAGCATTTGGACTTCTTGTAGTTTTTAAAGATCACTCTCCTATCACCGTTAACTGAATTACTAACACTCAACCATGCTTGCAAAGAAGACTTTAAAGGAAGAAAAAGTGACAATCTATATGAAAACACATTTGGTGACAGACGATATTCAGTAACCCAAAGACATTTTCTGATAAAAGATGCATTTGGTTATTCTGACCTCACTAAAAAGTCTTCATTTGAAGATGCCCATATGTGAACTACAAAGAACACTGAAGCCCTTTTTCTTAGTCTTCAAATCTAGCTCAAATGAATAATAGATTATGATACAGCAGCACCCTCATTAAGATCTGCACTTCTTTACAAGTCTGAACACATCAAGAAGAAAATCTATCTGAACAAACCAGCAATTCTGTAAAAGTATCACAAACAAACCTGAATGAAAAAACAGGGCTCTGACAGGTCTGTGCAGACCTAGAGATCAGCCTCATATGTCTGAAATGCAAAGATTTTATTTTTTTTTTCCTTCAAAAAGGAAAAAGAAAATAAAAAGCCTAGCAAAGATTTTTTAAAACTCCTACCTTGTTTATTAATAAAACACTGAGCCAAAATATTTTAACAAGAATAATAGCCTATAAATATTAAGTATAAAAAAAGATGTAGTTTTAAGCTTGAATGTTCTGCCTAGCTGACAGGAAAAGAAATTAGGAGCATGAAGCACAGATGCAGACATAGGGAGAGGGTCGACCAATTTAACGCATGCATCCGCGCAAATGCTTACCTACCTGAAATTCAAAAATTTTGAAGGGCTCCAGGATCTTCAAGGAAACTTCAAAGAGTTGGGAATCTGTGGATGAGATTCCAAGTAGAACAGGAGACATCTTATACAAATGAGACTTTAAAAACCCCACACTACAAATGTTCTGATTCTCTGTGCCAATTTTACAATGCACCGATGATCAGCCTAGATTTCTGATGATGAAAGACTTGTTCTGTGAGATCTAGAAGTCTGGCCCCACCCCAAGAAATCACTCCGTATTCAATATTTATTTAATGGTGAAGATACACATACATAGAAAATGAAGCCTAAGTAAGTTAACAAAACAAGGTTTACGTATTGGATTTTCAAATTGAAAGGAGCTTTAAAAATCCAAACAAAAAGCACCACTGCTCTTGAAAGGAACACAGAGTGAAAAGTTGCATTTTTTTTTTTTCTGTAGTCTCTTTTCATTCATTTCGAAAACTGTAAAAGGTAACCAAGAAAAATAATCCATAGGGCTTTAATAGGACCTAGTTGAGTCTCATTTTATAAAGGTGCAGACTTTTTCAGATACATACAAAGCAGCAAAACCTAGAGAATTAGAATCAGCAACAAATGATACTATTTCTTCACAGTGTCATGCAACTTAGCACAGCCAATTATGTTTTTACAACAAGCACTATACAATTGTTCAGGGAATGACATTAGAACAGAGAAGTTTAAGGAGGTGGAATACCAGTTACTGGTTACATAAATATGTGAAGTTACTTGCTGGAGTCAGAAACAAGGAGGAAAAGATCAACCAGTCAGCCAGTGAGGTACTCTTCCCATTCAAAACAAATGAACTAAACCAGTAGCTTCATATCAAGCAACAACTCAAGAAATTCAGCAGTGCAAAGTGAAGGAACACCTTCATTTCTTCATTCTCTGCAGGCTACATAAAGCTTACACATATTTCTTAGTACCTTGTGTCTAAGTTTCCAACTGTTTACAATCTCTTAATTTGTTACTTATGTAGTTTTATAAAGTAGAAAAGGAACTGCTGTGGTTAGGTGAAAGTATGATTTCTATGTGATTAGATTTTGCACTTTTTCCATAATGAATCCCAAGAGCTACTCAGTCAAATCTTGTATCACGTTTCTGATGATCTTCAGTTATAAGCACATATATTTAGGGGCAAATTTGTTTGAACTGCCTACAGCCACAGCAATTCCAAACACAATCAAGAAAAGAATATGAAATGCCTGACTACAAACCCCCTGCTGTTATGACAAAGCATCAGCTTGCAAAAGCAAAATCTATTTAAAGTATTCAGAATATTCTACCACATACAGTTTCAAAATACTAATTTAAGAAAAAGTTATTGGAAGTTCTCTGCATTGCAGTTCTTTGACTGTGGATGCCCAGTTTTGACATGCTTCATCACAGCTATCCTGTAAAGCTAAGTTTATAAAAATCACTGGAAGAACCTCTAATTACTAACCTTGTGATAAGCCCTGTTGATCAAACGGCTGCTGTGTTATAGCTTGCTGTTCAAATTGAGTGATGTTTTCCTGTAAAGCATGCTGGGATGTCACAAATCTATCTGAAATGGGGAAGGGAAGAGGAGGGGGAAAAAAGAAAAGGGAAATACTATCAAGAAAATATGATGTAATTAACTGGGTAATTCAGCTGTTTCCAAAACCCTATATTTTGTAGTCATCTGTATTTTTACTGCATTAAAAATAAATTTTAAAATATTGCCTTAATAGGTATTTAAATCTTTACTCATTATTGTACTTGCTAACTCATTATACCATGAAGAAAAAATAAGCAAAACCAAAATGCTCTGTCCACTGTTACTAACAAAGTGCATGAAATATTTTATTTTCTCCCACTTCAAAACACAGGTATTACTTCCTAAGTAGGCTATACAGCAGTGCTTTTGATTAATAATAGAGGCGATGTGGTAAAGTTCTGTGCACACATTTTTCTGTATATTTGGTTTAGTAGTTCTGATACGACTAAATGGTGCAAACCTTAATTCTTTTATATACTTCACAGTAAACCTAAACACCAATGAAACTGTACAGTATACTTTAAGTAGTTAGGTTTTGCACCACGTATTTTTCTAGTTGTTTACTTGCATTATCTTGAAACTCAAATAATTTAAATTCATGAAGGAAAAGTTATTCAAGAACTTGTAAACTTACCTCCTTTTATAAACCTTATCATATTTCAAATACTCACCCTCATCTTGCTCTAAAGGCTGATCAGCCAGTTGTTGTTCAAGTGCCGTTTCTTCTGTGCCTACTACTGGCTGCTGGTCTAACTCTAAAATGGCCTGCTGATCTGTTGCAACAGCTTCTGACTGCTGTAGCCCATCACTTTCAATCTCCACTTGCATCTGTGTGGAAACATGGATGCTCTGCTGATCTACAGTAGAATCTTCTATTGAATTAGACTGCTGATGCTGCTGAAGTTGCTGTGCAAGTTCGTATCTGCAAGGAAATTTAAGAAGGTCTTTTTATGGCTTCAGTTAGACCATTACCCTAAGTATTTACACAGATTTTTATTTTTATGATACACTGTAATTTATTGCACCTTCAGAGCTACTTAAGTGTTTGCTACACAAATAAATGCCCTTATTCAATTATTAACATCTGCTACAGAGCGAAGCTGCCTTTCCAATTACCTTTAAGGAAGGCCTACTTAAATACATTGAAGGTTACATATAAAAGTTATAAACCTACCTATGAGTCTTCATGTGTTTTTTACAGTTTAGTGATGTTTTGAATGTTTTTTGACAATAGGGACACATATACGGTCGAAGGTCATTATGGATCCCCATGTGTCGCCGGAGGCTGCCACCAGTAGTGAAGGCCCCATTGCATATAAGACACTTAAAAGCTTTCAGTCCAGTGTGTGTTCTAATATGTGCCTTCAGAACTCCAGCTGACACAAAACCTCTTCCACACTGAGAGCACTTAAATGGCTTTTCACCAGTATGCGACCTTTTGAAGAGAAAGCAGAAGTTATGAAAAGACCAAATTTAATTTAAAACGAGCAAAATAAACCAAACTAAGGTGACTGACCAGTGATGAAAACCCAGAAATTAGAGGTTTAATAAATTATAAACAATCTGCATCTCATCAGGGGCAGAGCTAGCATCAATATTGCCTGACAGTTTTAACTACGTTCTACAGCCCAATCTCCTTCTCTGATCATACTTTGTGTCAATTAAAATGCTCGGGTTGAATTTTTCCACACCAGATAACATCCTAGTTCTTCAGACTACTCTATTATCATTCACATGTGTTCTCCTCAAATCAGCTAAAACAATGTCAACAAAAGTTTGGAGAAAAAAATATACAGTTTTCTTTCTATTATATACTGCCACTAGACTGAAGAAAAAATTTTGGGGAAAAAAAAGCGCGCTTGTGTCCATCCTGAATAGCTCCTGAACAAGGCACAGTACAAATAGTCTTTCAGGCTGTGGGAAACAACATTCAAGTGGGGAAACACTCTCACCTATACTATGAGCATGTCCCCCTCACTATACTCCTCCAGAGGTGCTTGAGGAGTTTCCTTTCAGTTTCCTACATCGATACATCAGCTGAAGAAGGACAGGTTAGGAAACAGAATGGAGGAAACAGCCAGGAGGAAGGCAATGTGAATGCTAGGAAATGGAAAATAAAGTCCTTTTTGCAGAGGACTTAGAAGTGCTGGCTTGATTGTTGGACTTGATGATCTTGGAGATCTCTTCCAACCTAAAGGATTCTGTGATTCTATGATTCTAAAGGAAGCATTATTTCATAAAATTGGGAAAAGTTAGGGCTGTCTTATGATTACAGTTGCCTTAGAAGTTTGAACCAGCACATCAGATGTCATAACAAAGAAATGTGACAGAATCCAAGACTGTTTTGCTAACACAGAAATCAGAGGTAGGGCATCACAACCCTTGCTCCGTGTGCCTGCAGGAGATCTGACACACTATTCAGACACTGCTCTGTTGTAAATACCACTACTACACATCTCCCCCTGTGTCAGAGAGAAGTGTGAAACAATTAAGATCAACTACTTCAGTGAAGGAGATTATGCAAACCAGCAACACTTACTAAGTTGCAATTATTTTGATTTACATCAGTTTAGCTTGATTCTATCTACAAAAGATGGTGAGAAATCCAAAGAGGATATTACAAAAGCAAGACATGTGATACTGCAAGGCCTTACCCCCTGCCTATTTAAGAAGCATAAAGAGACCAAGAACTATTTCAAGCCAGTTAGACAACCCACCAATACAGAACTTTATTTGTAAGGAGAACATGAGGAAATCACCATGATTTGAATCAGAAAAAAGTGGTACAGAGCTCACACTGCAGGAACAAGCAGATTGCCACCCGCATGTATGGAATCTTTCCTTAGATACGAGCACCTCTGGTGTGTCACTGGTTCATTACTTTAGAGAGGGTTAAAAAAGAAGTCTTCTCAGTGAACACTACATAAATTTAATGTCTTTCCATAAATTTATTACATACATTTTCTTTCTTCTTCCTACTTATTTTACCTGATGTGTTGTTTAAGATGACAGGATTTTTTATAGGCTCGATGGCAATAAAAACATTTGTATGGTCTTTCTGCATCATTCACAAAATTATTGTTAAAATAATTTTGGAAGAACTGGCTGTTCCTTGGGATTGGCTGGATAAGACCTGAACACAAACATACACAAAAAAAGGATAAAAATTAATTGACAAAATTATTTTGAAGCTTTATCTTCCTCAGTTTATCTTCCTCAGACCTGAAAAATGTTATACATATATATATTTATAAATGTGTATGCCAAAACTTCCTTCACCTTCCCCAGCTAAGTCAGTTGGTCTAGTAAGAACATTTTCTCTTAATAAAACAAAACCAAACCTAAAAAAATTCTACATAATAAAAATGCAAAACAAAACAAAACCACAAAACTCCAAACCACAGGCCAACTTTCTAAATTCCTTCTGACATTCTATTGTGCTGATAATTAGTAGCAGTGTACAGGAGTTAACATAAGTCTTCCAAATCAGAAGAGAAGGAACTCTGTACGACAAATATTTACTCTCAGTTATTTTTAATTGTGTAAAAGCAAAATAATTTAGTTAACTCTCAGAATGGTAGAGAACAATTTGCAGACTTTTTAATAAAATTTTAAAATAATTTATACTTTTTTAAAAAGCAAAATACATATCAAATGTTTTTTCCTATCAAAGGTGCAACTCAAAAGTTAACACTATTATAAAGCACCAATATTAGTCTGTATTTCTAAAAGAAGTAGGATTTTTCTTCTGGAACAGTGGAAACATTGCCAGTTGGCTGAAAAAAAAAAATTACACCTTAAAGACAGATGGTGGAATTCTTGTTTTTACCCTGAACACTCCAATATCAGCAGAGTTCATGTGTTATCCATACCTGTAGGAAACAACTTTTATAGTGTTTTTTTTTGTTAATATTGTTTTTTTTTTTTCCAAAACCCAGTATTCTACTGCACAGATCTTAGTTGTATTGAAGTGCTCTTTTCTTGCAAATCGAGAAATAAGACTGTACCTGTTCCCAGGATTTACTCAAAAAAGAAATATTGTGCTATCAAGTTATCTGAAGCTACCACCTACGTTTTCTTGCTACTCTGAAAATTTAAGTTTCTCATACCCTATACCAAAGTAGCGACTCCTCTTGCATACAGTAATTCTTGGAAGCAGTGAAAGTAAAAGAATTTTTAAAGAATGATATATATATTTTATGCTAAAGATATTATCAATATAATATTCTACTATATAAAGATGACTGAACAACAGACAGGGCAGAGGACAGCAGACTGGTGAGTCAAACAACAATGAAGAGTAAACATCTTGACCACTACGTTGGCCTCTATGGGAGAATAATATATATTGTCTTGATTGAGTTGCACAACAACTTACCTTCTTCCCAAAGGTGGTTTTACTTATGTTCTAGCAATTACTCTACAATAGAATTAAAATAACCATATAAATTCTCTACAGCACATTCCAGAATTATTCTGCCCTTTTTTTGAAATATTACGACTAATGATTACCACTAATTCAGTTGATGTCACAATTATAACAAATACACTAAAATCATGTAACACACTGACTGATTAATATTTGCCCTTTGAATACACATTCTTCCAAAGTACAATCTAGGCCACAGACTGTTACTTTTCTAAACCAACAGTCTAACAATAGTTATGCAAATATGCACACGCTTTTTTTTTCTGGTAAGGATGACAATTTCTCTGTAATTAAAAAAAAACCTTATTATTAGTTCTAGTGCAAACAAACTACAAAATACAGCATTTTTCTGAAGCCTGATTGCTTCTGATGACTTTATTTCAAAGTGCATCTTTCTAAGCAAGCTCTGAATGTGTTCACTTGATTAAATCGTGACCTCTATTTTCCAGTGAAATTCAAATTTCAAGGCAGTATGGATTTACTTGCTCTTTACCTAAATCAGTTATGAGTATGGGCTCTTGCAAAGGAATGTCTGGTACTGGGACACTCGTCTTCCCTACTCGAACTTTTGCAGGCTTACGTTGATGTCTCAGCTTTCTTAGTTCTGTATGTTTAAAATGTGAAGCAATGTGAGTTTTCCGGTGGCCTGAAGTTCTGAACTTCTTGTCACAGTGAGGACAAGCAAAAGGCCTAACACCTGCAAAAGAGTAAAAGAAAAAAAATCAATTTCTGATTTTATTTCCATCACCCTAGAATTGGTGCTTTGGGATACAGATTCTCTCTTTTTTTTTGTATTTTCTTTTTTGTTTTTGATCAGGGTGTTTATTGTCAAATAGGTTTGCAAAATAAATGCATGAAATTTAATCAAAAGTAAATATAAAAATGCTGAACTAACTAACTGTTCACATCACTTTAAGGAAGCTTATAATAAGGAAACAAGATGTTGCAAAAGAGACAGCAATTCTCAAAGGGTTCCACCAGAAGCTATGCTAAGAATTGCAGATAGGTCAAATGTCCTTCCAAAACAAACTGTTAAAACACTGTGAGAAAAAAAAAAAAAAAAAAAAAATCAGGAAACACAAATGTTACACAGTAGGATAAAACAGAGGAACAGTGATGTGACAAAGTTTGAAGAAATTCTAGGTCAGTCTCTGAAAAATTCAACAGTTTGGATAGCAGTCAAAAAAGCATGTCAGCAGGAGTTATTAAAGAAAGACTTCTGCAATGCAAAATCCAGTAGAAATCACTCCTTGGAAGGGACACTGGAGTACTTGGTAAGTTACAGAGACAGCCAAAGCAATGAACTTCCAGCTTGTGTTCAAGGGGAAATCTTGTGTAGGCCAAGAAACATGAGTGGGTATTATGAAGAATGCTCTTTAAAATCCCAGGTGGAAGAGATGCACAAGAAATAAGAATGAACCATTCTTCACAACAGAGTAACTAAAATATCATATGAAACTACTGAGTAGAATATTTAAAGAAACAGGAAGTACTCTACTCAACATGTAGCTCAACTTTGGAACGAATTATGTTAGATTGTTCTAAGTAGTTAAGTTCACATGGGTTGAAAACCAATTAGCTAAGTTCTTTGGAACAAAAAATTCTAATAAATGCTGAGGTGCAGAAGTACAGCCTGCTTCATAAAGCCCTCAACCCAAAGATAAGCAGAAGTTATCTGTATGCTCCCAAGAAGCATTACTGTAGTCTTCCCTTTTCCACAGAGAGAATCCAGGGCCAGATGAATCTCTAACCTGATCCAGCCAGTGTAGTCTGCTAGACAGAAGAAGCAGCAAACACCTCTGACAGGAAAAACAAGTGAGCTGAACAATGGCCAACTAGATGCAAGAGTTCCATAAACACTGGACTACCTATTTTTCAAGCCACCTGGTGTTTTTGCCACCTTGAATGAGTCTGACTTCTTAAATACAGCAAGGTTGACTTCAAAGTGACAGAAAAAATACTGGTTTATAAGTTTACAAAAAATAAAAGTGAAAAACTTCCTGCAGATGAATTCAACATTGGTATTTCATGGACTAAAGGCATGTGACTACAAAACATATTGAAATCCAAATGCACATAGCCAATGAATGATACTTTTGCAGAATGTGAATACATAAACAGGAATTAAAGGAAAGAGCAGCACATTTATAACCTTATATTGCTGAAAGCTTATTTACCTGCAAGAACAAAGAAAGGTGAAAAATAAACAGGCAGTCCCAACAAGAACTGAAAATTCACTTTTCTCTATGCAGAGGATAGAAGTTCAACCACACAGAAACAGGTACTGAAGGCATTACATTGATGTCAACAAGAACCATATAAACAGAGTTTTAGGGTATGCAGTGCATGATACTGAAAAGAGGTAAGCTGGTGAGAACACCAAGAGACACCTTAGTGTTGAAGATAAAATAGAAAGTAACCAAATACTCCTAAAATTCCCAATAGTCAGTGAAATTACCAAAAAGTGTTGGTGAAGAAAGAAAAGATGCAGAGTAAATATGAAATATGACGGGGTATAAGTAAAATCAGAATTCAAACTATAGCAGTATGACTCTTCAGAAAGCACAATTTAATACACTCACAATAGCAGTATTAAAAAGGAGTAACAGCTGACTCAGAGAACCAAATATCCACAACTTTTGTCAGAGCCCAAAGTTTCAAAGCCATGCAGCAGTAGAAAGTTATGACAAAAAGTTAAGTTCATCATATAAGACACTAAAAATGGTTCATTCTCTGATATCAATGACATGATAGACATCTCTAAAACTCAAGTGCTTCACATTGTCTTTCTTCATTTAAGGTCTCGCCCACACGACAGAAAACACAAAAGCTCTTTGGAGGCCTTACCTGTATGTAGACGAATGTGAACTTTTAAACTCCCTGAGGTGGAAAAGCATTTCATACAAAATTGGCACTTGAAAGCTTTAATGCCAGTGTGTGTTTTTATGTGTGCTGTGAGAGTACTCTTAACAGCAAAGGCGCGGAAGCACTGGGGACACTTGAAGGGCTTCTCGTGGGTGTGAATGCGAATGTGCCGCACCAGGTCACTTGGCTTTTTAAATTCTTTGGAGCAATATGGACAAACGTGCCACCTGACTCCGTTTTCTTCACGTATAGAGCCTAAAATAAACATCAAAAAGAACATTTGAAACATTTTAACATTTCTTCAAAAATTCTACTATGCTGACACCATTATACAAAGCAATCAAAACTCAAAAATGTGTTGTGAAATAGGTGCCATTACAACACAATTTGTAGACAACTTCCCTATCAGATACATTCTATTTCACAAAAATAGTGATGCGTTGGCATGACAAAAACAAAACCCAGGAGAATCCTATTGAAATGCAAATGGGTTTACGCTACTGAAAAGGAAGACGTTTCAAAAAAAAAAAGAAAAAAGTCAAGAAATATCTGACTTCACAGAATAAAAAGAACACAGTTTGTAATGTATTTATAATGCAATATAACATACCAGTTAACTTGTAAGTACCATATCTAGCACAAAATGATCCAATGATGAATATAACTCCTCAACCATAACCACAACTGAAGTATTTTAAGTACTCAAAACTTCTCTACCTAGAGGAGATACTTTATATAACCCTCTCTTTTGCAAATTCAGATTTAAATTACATTTTATAAATTTTTAAAGGATCAAAAGTGCAAAAAAAGTCCTTCTGAGAGGTTTACAATTTAAGGCTACTTCTTCACAGTTGTTTTACAATTGGAAAACACCAAGCTCTGTCCTAAAGCAACAGCATCACTTTTCTCAACAAAAATGACAAAAGAAGCTTCTAAATCATATTTTTTTTTTATTCTGTTTTTAATAGCACTGTTTATTATCGGTTATCTGCTTGCTTAAATCACGTCACATTTTGTCTTTTTCTGTAAACCATGTCAATATGCTGAGTTTACACTTTTTTATAAAAAAGAGGGCTGTTGTTTGACAGTACAGAAATGGCCTTCTATTTTATTTGCAGTCAGTTAGAGTTGTTACTGTTACACAAAAAAACAAAACAGTTATTATGACTGTAGGAACAAGTTAATGTTGATTTTTAGCACAGTTATGCTAGACAAGATGTTTTTTCTACTTTAGATCAACTTCTGTATCCCTTGCAAAGAAAAAAGCAACATCAACATATCTGTGAAGTTCCTGTAGGCAGAGCTCAATGACTGCTCATTAGAGCTGTCTCCACCAGGCCAGCCACTGAAGCACGATGGCTACCCTTGAAACAGACCACTTCTAAGCAAACTTAGTCTTAAAAGTTGCAGTTAAGCACACAGAGATAAAATCCAGGATTGTACATACACCATGCAGTGAAGAGGTGAAATATTAACATTCATTTATGGTGACTGTTTCAGATCAGTACTGCAATTCCAAACATCAGTGACTTGAAGTACTATCCACAAATGCCAACTTCCATGCTTGCCTACATAGCACAGATCAGTGAAGATCTGCACGAGGCAGCAGTGCTGTGCTTCTGCCTCTGTGAGGCCACAGTTCCCAAGAGGAAGAGTAGAGTTTGCAAGGACCTTCTGCTCTGGGATACACCATGAAATCTCAGTCCTAACTCCACAAAGGATGATAGCAAAAAGATGGAAAAAAAGATTTATATTCTTTCTGGTTTTCTGCCTCCAAAAACTCCACTGATCTAAATCCAGAAGATTTAACAGTGTAACTTCACTTAGTGCCATTCTGACACATTTTGGTATGAGCATAATGAAAGTTATAAATGTTACTATCATAACATATACACATACTGTGGTTTAGATAAAGTAGATGAAGATCATAAACTGCTCCACAATCTATTTTAGGAAATCCCTTTATAAAACTATTAACGCACCCACAGAAACCCTTCTTGTATTTAAAGCAAAAGTAGCAAGCAAAGGCAACATTACCAGGTAAAAATGGTGATTTTTTCTTAATAATCTTTTTTTCTTTTTTATCCAGTTTATCTGTAATCTCTTGCTCCTTATCTTGTTCTGCACTATTAGAGTCAATTTGATGATTTGGGAGAGTCTGGACATCTGGATTCTGTTCCTGGGCACCAGGATTCTTAGCCTGGCTGCAGTCAGTAGAATGTGCAGAGACAGGAATCGAAGACAACCCACTGTTCTCTAAAGCTTGCTAAAAGAGAACAAAAAAATTCAAGCTTAAGAAAGAAACATTCCACAGTTGCTCCAACTTTTCTCAGATAACTACTTAGAATATATAATGCAAACATAATTAAAGCAATTAAATGTCTCACCCTCCCAGAATTTCAGCTGGATTTCAAACAATACTGACTTCTGATTTTGAGACTTTTAAAGTTGGATTTCCTGCACTGACACATGTGCCAACAACTGCCTTGCAGAAAAGTGCCAAATGTTGCTACAGGACCAAGCATTTGCCAGGAATATATAGCTATCTCTTACGCTTACTACTTGAGAGAACAGTTCCCCATAAACAACAAATCAGAAGCCCATCAGCTTGTGGAGAAGCCATAAACAATATAAAGAAAAGGGAAAAATTCTAAGGCAAAGAAAAGCTTGGAAAAGCTCAAAAGCCTCTCAAACTTCTGATAACCACCAGCCTGAGGCAAGAGCTGTGCACTCACTTTTAAGGATACTGTTGTGTCTGCAAAGGTTCTGGATCAAAGGCCTCAAATGCACATTTAAGTACCAGTCTGCAGGTATTTGGCTGCTCGGAAGAAAACTACGTTTTATTTTTATTTTGAACAGCAATACTAGTCATGCTCATACAACAAAGAACTGACCTCGAAGACCCATTTATTTTTAATAGCTATCACAACAATAGTTGTATTTTGTGTTATAATTCTGTGCAACTACACACTACACTCCTGACATGAGAGAACTCACCACTGGTAACACGGTGAACCAGCACATAGCTAGAGGTAACATTCACATCTTTCAAAAAGAAATATAAATGGTACCTAAAAGACTAGAGGCAAATAAAAAGCAATGCTTAAAGGTTAGGAAGCTACCACAAATACAAAAGAAGAAGATTCTTTGCCCTGTTCCATTATGCAGTAGAGGCTGCAGAAGAATCAGAGTTGGGTTACTGCCTGCACCTCCTCTGTTATGTAGCATCTCCTACTGCCAAGATCAAGGACAGAATAGCGGGTTAGACAAAACACTGGTTTGTCCCAGGAAGACATTTTCTTTGCACCAATAGGAAATATTCAAATAGTCCTTATTAATTAAAAGGGGCGAAAGGCCCAGTCCCCTTTTTTAATCACCTAAAAATATTTTTCCCCTCTTACATATTATGTTATAAATGCAGTATAAATTCATGACATGCCACAAGCTGCTTCTAGGCAACAGAAAAAAAGTTAAAGGGATCAATAAAACATCCATTTATGGATGTGTATACTTAAAGCTGCCTTCTAGGCCATGTAATTAAAATTTATAGCCTTGCTATTGTGAAATTATACAAAAAGATACCTTTGTGAGTTCCATACTCGTTCGTAGATCTTTACAATTCTTTCTAGACTGAAAAACCATTTAGAAAGGCAGGAATGCTACCACTGAAAATACTGAGAAGAAAGTACAGTAAAATAAAAATAAGAAAGAAACCACTGAAATGTCAAGTTGTCCTCACACAGAACTCTTACCTGCAAAATATCTCTATTGATTCCCACTGCAATGTTGAGCTGTTGACCAGGTTGTTGAGGCTGGTTATTTTCTACAGGACCTGGTTCTGATAGCTCAAGGAGCTGCTGGATGACATCAGTTACAGCCTGCTGGCCCTGATGAGCTGCAGTAGCTGAAGACACCTGGTTTTCTGTCTGTTGGAGAAGCGGAGACCGAAAATGTGTGGCCTGAAATATACAGCAGTACATTGGTGAAGGAAGATGGAAAGTATATATGAACTGATCTGTTCAGCTCCCAGCTCTGAAGTGTCTATTACCTGTCCACTTGTCTAAGACATAAGGATCATACAGAGCTGTCATTCAAGGAATGCTCACTGCACTAAATAACTCCTTTTGTATATCCCTCTTCAGGTGTTCCTCCCAAGCTACATGACCATAAGCTTAAAGCTTGAATTAAGTTTATCATAACTACTGAACCTTCAACCCGTTTACAAATTCAATTACTAACCAATTATAAGATCAATTACTGAATTCTCCACATGTAGAGGCCACATGAAAAGTAATTCCAAAACAAATAAACAGGACTGACACAGTCTTTTTAAAGTTCACATTTAACTAAAGCAAGTCCTTTGGAAAAATAACCTTGGATTAATTGAGATTGTTTTAAATTAAATTATTTGTGTTGTTGTATCAAAACCTTTCAGAACAAACTACCAACTTCCTCCCCTTCAACTTTCAATCTTCTAAATTGCTTGCCTTTAGAAGAATCTCTCTATACTCTAAAGATTTAAATACACATGGAGTTGTATCAAAAAACTAAAAAAACTTGAAGTCTAAAAATCATTTGACAACTGTATCTTAGGCTACCTTATTAAAAGGAAGGAAAAAGTTATAAAGTCTTAGTATTTCTTTTTACAATCAGAAATAAAGACTTTTGTTCCCCTTAATTTGTTAACTTCTCTTGGTTATAACATACTCTGTAAGTATGCCATTATGGAAACAACTGCTTTCAATCATTTATTTTACTGCAAAAAAAGTTTATGTATTTATACATTGGCTAGCCCCACAATTCTGTTTCTTAGAAGTAAATATCCAGTGTGTTCTAAGATTCACTTCTGCTACCTAGAAATAATCACTTGCAAGCGCAGAGACACAAATATACATATAAAATGCCATCTTCCTCCAGATCATTTTCAACAAAGAATTATCTCAGGCTGCATGTAATATTTGTTCCAATCTAAAAACTTCCCAGAGATTTTCTTTTTACTTACACATTATATTGGACACTTAAAACGACACTATCACCATATTTGAGTATGGTTCCAAAGAAAAATTAGCTTAACTCAAGTTATATCCCATGAATCTGATGAAGTACTCTTCATGCCTTCTCATGAGATGACAGAAAACAAACCCTTATCTCATTTCTCTTGCATGCATGTGAGAATAGCACTTGCTATTTTGCCGATTTAACCATTACTTCATATTTTTTTTTTTCACATCACCAGTGGGACAGATGGAAAGATCCAATCTCTTCAGATTCCAATTTAGCAAAACTGCTATAAACATTTCAACGCATATTTTACAAAATAAAACACCCTATATGCCATTTCCATTGCAACAAACAGGAACTGAAGCAAAGTGTTTTGCTCAAGAGTGTAACAGCTCTTAATGGAGACCATTCATTTTCCTGCAACAGAATGCAGGGAAGCTCTTTAGTAGAGCTAGAAGCCTACACTAAGAAGTCTAGAAAATTCTCCCAGGATTTTAGCAAGAGAAAAAAATATTGACAATGGAACTGCTCAACATCATCCTTGACATGAAAATCACAGTACTACCTGTATTTAGCCAGTGTGTCCATGTATTATACAGCCGTTTATTCAAACGGCCTCATGGAGGTTGTGTTTTCTGAAAACTACTTTATACATATGAACACACAGTTTGTTACCATTAAGTTATCCTACACATTAGAAAAAGTTCCCAAGGTCTCTTTGCAGGTCTTACGTCAATAGTGGATTTTTAAAATAGCATACAGAATGAAGTGTTTTATTATTACTTCCGAGTTCCACGTTCTTACAGTTAGAACAGTGGACCCTGTGATCACCCTTTGTCTGCATAATCTGCTGTGTAACACACCATGTGACTGCTCTGAGTGAACTACTCCTTCAAAGTAAAGCAACTGCAAATAAATTACACCAGATCTTCACATCGAGTAATTTATTGCGGTCGTTTTTTCTGTTGCTATCTAACTTCAAGCTGCTCCAACAGTAAATTATCAACGCTAAAATTCCATACTCTGTTTCAAAGTGTGAATTTGTCTAGCTTCTATCCTAAAATCCTCTATTAAAGACATTACAGATTTTTTCCCTTTTCCTCAAAACAGCAGATCAAGCCATCCTTAAATATCTTATCTGACGGGCAAAATAGGTAATGCACTTTGAATCTCTTCAAGAATAAAGGACTTTATATCATGCTTTAAGAGTTCTGATGGCTCCAATTTCTCCTGTGTCTTTGAATACAGCTCATGAATAGTAAACACTATAAAAAGACAAGCAACAGAAGAAAAAAAATCCCAGAATAAAAGGACATACAAGCTTTTCGTTTCTCTGTAAATTTTCTCTCAATAAAATGATCAAACCCAATCTTTGCAGGCAAGGAAAACCTAACTTTTAGCCAATATATCAACTATTACCTCTTCCATCCCGATTTGTAAGGGGAATTTAAAATCCCGGAAAACTCCTGTCCTGTGAACATGGCCAACTGTTCCTGGTGTTCTACAGGTGATTTTACTCTTGGCCATATCCGAGCATATATTGTTTGGTGCACCCAGCTCACCAAGAAATCCAGATCTTTCTGTATCAGTGATCTGTCCTCCTCATAAGTTATCTCAACTTTTGTATCACCTTTACCAGTGATGATTTTGTATTTTCTTCCAGGTCACCAATAAAATATGAAGTAATGTAGGGCCAAGAACTAATTTCCAAGGGAGTCATAATATAAATCTGGCACAACAATATGCAAATTGTAAATTTATAAAACTCATTTAGGATTATCTTATATTTAATACAGTATATTTACAATAAGGTGTATCCTAAATTGATTATTCTCTTCTTTTCTCTTCAGATCTATGCTTTCACACAAACACACAGCCCCTCCTAAAAGCCAGGCTGACCCTATTCCTTGAAATTACTGAAAATAATTTCAATTGGTTAAAAAAAGGAAGTTTAAAAGAAACTGCTGCTGAAGAACAGCTATTTTTAACATTTTTTAAAATCTCATAAGAAATATAGTGTAACTATTTAATGCAGCTAATGCTAGTAATTAATTAGTTTACATTAGGCCTACTCAGCTCTAAGTTAATTGGTCCTGGAACAATGAATTCACAGGAAAAAGAAAAAGGTGCAGAGACTGGTTATGGTAACTTTAAAGCAATACTGTCACATTTCCTAGCCCTTGGTTTTGTGGATTCTAGTACATGAGGAGATAATCAGTGGCTGAAGTTGGGAAGAGGGGAATGTAAGTGAAGCCAGTCTGTCACAAAGATTGCACACTGCACCTATAGCTGACACACAACATGCTACTTAGCTGCAGCCAAGCACAACAACGCTCTTGCTGTGACTGGCACATCAAGACCTGCCTGCACATCAGTACCGCTTGCCGTGGGTTCCAGAAGCCAGCCCTGCACTGTCCTTCCTTGGCTTCACATGCTCCTCCTGAGTCCCACAGTTCCACGGCCGCCTCAGTTCCAACAATCTGACCAGCATGAACACAGCTCCTTCCCTCTCCACCCAAACCCTGGGAAGTCAAGTCAAGAGGGGCAGGATAATCCAGTGTTTTGATACTCCTCACTTGCCTCTGGTATTTTTTTCAGGATAGTATTTACCTCCATTTTGAAGAACTAATGAACAGAGCTACACGCAAAATCATAAGTATACACCACGTGAGGGAATATAACCCATTCGAGACCATTCCTAAATAACCAGCTGCATTCACCAAGAAGCTGCTTTCACGTATGAGCTGGTCACAGAGGTTTATTTTTCACCAGTTAAATGAAAGTTCACAGAATTCTGTTAAGTTTCTCTCACTTTTCGTCTTCACAGAAATATGACAAAAATTCTACACTTACATTCTTCCATTTGTTATCAACAGGTTGTAAGAGATTTGCAGGGGATGTTGTTAAAGGCTGGGTGACAGAGTCCTACAAAGAAATGAAAATAAAGTATTTTAATCCTTTGCACAAAAAGTAGAAAAACATGGCTAATATCACACAAAAGTAGCACAGTTAATTTTCCAACAGTATGGAGGCTAGGGACAGAAAAAAGTAAAACTACAGCAGAGATACAAAAGTACAGAGAACCATTAATGTTGCTTCATAGTTTATACACATTAAATAAACAAGTTACAGGAATCAATGGCTTAGCCATAAGCACTGATGCAGCAAAGAAACAGCAGCCTTACAGTTAGCCTATTTCACAAGAGGTACTCAAGTATCACACAAGAATGCATTCTTCAGTAGCACACCACTTCAGGAGACTTCAACTTCTGGAGTGTGTATTTATTAGAGACATAATTATTGTTCATCCCCAGGTACCTGACAAGGGACAACAGAGACTGATGGCAAACTTCAGAACAGAATTCTTATACTGGACATTTATTGAAGTACCTCTGCAAGTTTTGATCAGAATGAAGATGTCAACTCTAATCTAAGAATTCTAGAGTTAATAATATATCAGATTTCTATACCAATTTAAAACAAAAATCATTAAATACCTGTAGTTTGAGATAATAAATTAAAATGAAAAAGCATAACACTCTTCAATATGCCAGTTGTTATCTTTGTTTTTCCTTGTTAAACTTCTTGGCACATGTTTTTAGTATTTTTTTTTTCTCCCATTTTGCTTAGACTATTGTATGGAGGCATTCTTTACTTTTCCCTTCTTCCATGCAAGCAGAGAAGTATGCATGCAGCACAGATAGTAACACCACACTTGTAATATGAATATGCAGTGCAAATTCAAAATATTCAAGAAAACCAAGAAAAATAGAGCTGGACAAAGAAAGCAAAAATGAGATAGTATGAAGGAATTTATTTCCTGCCTTTAAGATGAGGCTTGTGAATGTAGAAATGTACAAAAGGACATAGAGATTGTATGTACTCGCAAGAAAATAGGACACATTGGTCTTTTTTTTATTAATTAGCCTGACCAGACAAATAGCACCTGTCACACAAAAAAAAATTTATGAAATAAACAAAAGAAAAAAGGTTCTCCAAACAACACTACCAAACACCCATTTTCAACAAGACACAGCTGCATAATGAAGTTGAGACTTTAAATTTTAACCCTCCTCTTCAAAGCCTTTTGTTACTTGTCATCCATTGAACATTAAATCATTGAAGTTGGAAACTATGCAAAACAGAGTGCAATAAAGTTAGAAAAGGTAGCTCTGTTCAAAGGAAAAAAAAAATCCCTAAAATAAATTAAATATTCACTGGCTCAAAAGTTAAAGTATTTTCTCAATTTTCACTCTTTCGTGTATCTTGGTAAAGAAAACATACAGTGCTTCCAATAAAGGTAAGATTTTTCCTTCATGATCTGTCAGATAAGAAACTAATATGTAAAACAAGTTATTAGAAATACTAAGAAGAATCCACTCCATGTTTACATGGACTAGATTTCTATGAACAATTAATTTCTGAAAATGAGTTGAAACAAATAATTTGAATAAATGATAAATAATTTGAATAAATAAATTTCATTGGTGCAGTTAAACATCAGTTATTTTTATGTTATCTGTGAAACCTTTCCTCCCCATACAACCTGTAAGCACTAGAATTATATTTTGATTCATTATAAACTGTTGTATTTTCAAACAAACCCTCAAATTGTAAATCCTTTTGTGCATATACTTGACCCATTTAGATTCGGCTAATATTTAATCAAGCAAATCAATTCCAGCAATGACATACATATTGAAAGAGACAAGAGACAGCTCCGGGTCTTTTCCTTCTAAGCTATCTGAAGAGTTACTGGAATTAAGATACAGACCTAATTAAACTCCCAAAGGCATTTTTGCAATACACCCGCCCCGCTTACCGCTGGAACATGAGGTACATCTACTGAAGTGCCCACGGAATTCTGGGGACCACCCATATGCATCTTGCTGATATGTGTATTTAAACTACCCAAGCTCTTGAAGACACAGCTACATTCTGTACAGTTGTATGTAGGGCCATTCTTCACCTTCAATAAAACAAAAAGAAAAGAAGTAAATTTTCACTAGATCTACCAAACAGTATGCTCTTCATTACTTATCCACATAGCAAATATACTATGGAATTATGAAACCTAAAATGCTCCCATTTTCCAAGTTACTGATATCCACTTATGGAATCAGTGTGTTATCTCTTGTATATCAAGTCAACTGTAATCTACACGCATGACTCTTGTGTCCTGTTATCACTTCTCAACTTTGGGAAGCACCAGAGAGCAAAACAAATGATATATGGCAAATGAGGCCTCAGACTTTTCCTTCCCTCTTTACAATTTTTTACAGCTACAGACTTAGCAACAAAACTGAAATGCAATTTCATCAATCAAGTTGTGACTGAAGACATAACATCATATATAATAAAAAACGGAAGTTTGGAAATAATGAACAGGTGAAAAAATACATCATATTTTGACTCTCTTTTTGCAAAATTATCTTTTATAAACTTTTAACCAAAAATAAAATCCATTTTTCCAAAGCAGAATGAAGGCAAGAGACTGGGCCAAAGCCCATAAAGACCACATGGGGAAAAGAAACAAACAAACCAAAAAACCCCATGAAAATACTGACATAGTAAAGGACAGGTAAGTTCAATATACAGTTTGAGCTGAACTTGAACAAGCTGAGAAAGTGATCAACAGCAACTTGTTCGGGACTTTAAGGCCAAAGGGTTGATGTAATTAAAGCAGGTAAATTTGCAGATTCCAACCACCCTCATTTCCTCCTCCTCCTTGGTCTGTCCCATAGCAGTAAGATCCAGCGCAGTGCTTGCAATACACAGGGAACACGCTGCACTGCTTGCAATATAGTATGGAATTTTGTATTTCTGACATTAGCTTGAACTGGCAATAAGACTTTCAGAAAGAGATATTAGCTAATAAAACACTGGTCAACTAAACAGTGATACCTCAGGTGAGAATCAACCTGCTTCATTATCACCTGTAACGTTGTTTTGTGATTGTCTCCAGATAAAATGAAGAATTAATAGATTACTACATGCAGTCTTGAAGAAAACAGTGAGAGCAAGAAAGAAAAAAAAAAATTAACCAATGATCCAAAGCAATAACTAAAATATATGCTCAGGATCATGAAACACAGCATAAGACATGATCCAGAGGTAGCATTTAGTTATTTTTTTCTTACATAAAAAGAGAATAACAGAGAAAAAATTGAAACATATTTTTGGCTTGATTCCTAATTATCTTGCACTATTGAAAAAAATCTATGTAAATTGTGAAATTAATGTTGGTGCGTTTTTTAATGTAGCAAAAGCTATTACATCCAGGCAGCTGTGAACAGTGAGGAAGATCAGTCACACTAAGCTAGATTAAATGTAACCATATGACTTAATGTAATTAAGCATAACAGAAACCACTAACACATATTCATACACTAAGACATACCCTAAAACTAAGAAACTAACACACCAAAAAGATGCTTAACAAACAAATCCAATAAATAAGGTCTATCATTGTAGCATAAAAATGGAAAACAAGAGTTAGGAGAAAGAGCAAGAGCAGAGGTGATATTCTGCATGCAGGCAAAAAGGAAAAAAAAAAAGCTGCCTGTATCACAACGTATCTTCCAAATCAAAACTAGGTCTCCTACGGGTATTTCCAACCACAAATCACTGAAGTCAGCAAGGAAATGACTAAACAAAGTTGCACAGCTGATGCCACTTTGAAGAGTATATTATGTTATCATAGCAGTACCTTTGGAATCTTAATAATAGGCTGTCACAAAGAAAAAAAAATCAGCATAAAGAGATCTGAGACAACAATGTGTTTTATCTTGTTTTATAATTTTCTTCTACCTGTAACTGAAAAACCTTTGACAAAGGCTGTAAGATATATATACTTCCAAGAAAAATTGCAAGTATGCTTCACGATAAGAGTTAGTGGGTTGCTGCTTGGCCTTGAAATTTTTCACCATTTTCTGCTTTGCTGCTTTTGGCTTACTTTCATCTGCTTCTAGCCTTCGTTCTCTGAAGACCGATGCAGGTACATTTTTATACACTTAAAATCACTAATAATCTATCAAGGCACCGAAAAGACAATGGTAAATGAAGGTTTTTCTACTTATCCTAGGTATACATTTATTCAGATTAAGCTATTTTAGGAAGGCTGTCAGGTAAAACCAACAAACTAGAATCTATACTACAGCAGTAAATCTATATTGGCTACAGAAAGCACCAGAGAGCACAGGAATAGCAAACAGGACAATTTAAATACTGAAAATTAAATAAGCAGTATATTAGCACCGACCACTTTATGAATAATTGTATTTACCTCTGAATGAACTCTCTGTATGTGTGACTGAAGATTGCCTTTCTGAGAAAAGGCTGCAGGACAAAAGGCACAAGCATGGGGTTTTTCACCAGTGTGCTTGATCATGTGGGTCTGCAGTGCCCCCTTCTGGTTAAAGGCTTTTCCACACTCACTGCATTTGAAAGGTCTCTCACCTGAAAGGAGAAAGGAGGATGCAGGGCAAGAGGCTTTAAATCAACCATTAGCAGTTTCCTGTATCTACATTAAAAACTATCAGCTAAAACAAAATATTGCATATAGACATCTGTCCATATGCACACAGAGAAACACATACATTATTCAGTGTTTTGAGAACTAAATTGTTTACCTCAACCACCAATCTCAGCATCTACTCTGATGAAGATGTAGCTTTTTCAGAAGTTTTATGACCTGGCTGATAATTATCAGTTAAAATGGATAAAATAAATGAAACCTGCATGAAACTATTACTTAGAACAGCTTCCTTCAGCTTATGGTTTATAAGGTCTGAGAAGTTGCTACACAAAACCACTGTAGGAAAAGAAAAAGGGGAAAAAGACAAACCACAGATGCCATTCTTTTCCATCAAAGCCTATCAAATGCACATACCTGCACAGAAGCAAATGGGGAAGCAGAGGGTGGAGTGGATGGTAATAAAACTTAACCTTTTATCCAGTCTAAAATCAGAAAATCTTACTACAAAAGAGTGCCTATGGTTCCCACTCCCCAATAAATATTAATATTCATTCTTTACAACCACCTACTGAAAATATGCTCTAATATAACGTTTTTAAGAGATATTGCACAGCCCTGCTTCGAAACTAATTTTAAAATCTTGATTGTTCATATTACTAGTGAACATTAAAGAAAAACTAGACAACACTGTTCCAGGAATGCTGTGTCAACATTTCTTGGTTGGGGTGTTCTCAGTGCTATGCACACTTACCCTCCTTTGTACATAAATTAAGTATGAAAAACTCCACAGCAATTTTAAGTGACAAAACATCATAGAACTGCATAAACATATTATAAAACACATTGATACTAAGAACAAAATGCAGTTTCTTATAACTACGTCTCAGTTGGCTACTGGACATCTCCCCTGTGAACTCAGTAGTGCTCTTTTTTTTTTTCCTTTAGTGAAATAGTTTAGCTGTGGTAACTTCAGGACCTTGAAAACATTTAACCCTTTTCATACTTCTATAGCAAAAACACTATAACCATGCTGTACATTATGTCTGCTACGTAAGTATTAGCATGTGCTAAATATTATGCACACTAAAGCAGTTTTGATTAATACTTTTGTACGACTTTTAATTATATAGCTGTAATTAGATCTAGTTTATAAATTATTAAAATCACATTCTTTGAAATAAAAGCAGCTATTTTTTGAAATAGATTACAAGCATGTAACTCACATAGTATCAACTCTGAAGGAAGGTTTAATTTCTGTTCTGCTTATGTCATTTGAAGATGGCTTTAAGGTCTGCAGGTTTTAACTGTGTATTTTTTAATATAGGTTAAAATATAGAACACTGATTCAGATCTTGAAATACAGTGACAGAAATTATACTGGGATTTCACAGGCTTAGCTTCCACTAACAGCTGCAGGTGGATACACAGAAGTATTGTTTCAGGTTAAGTTTGCCTATTTAAGTAAATTTAGTTAGAAAAACTAAATCTTAATTCTAGATTTAGTTGGAAATGTGAAAATTCTGCATTTATCAAGTATAACTTCAAACAGAGATTTGGGAGGTGGAATGGTGGGTTTGTTAGTTGTTGATACAGAAATTACCATCCTTGAGGCTTTTTTTCCCCCAAAAGGGTGTAAAGGCTTTAAATTAATAGCTACAAACAAAAAAGGTGTTGCAATTAAGACACTAACCTGTAGAGCATTACACATGCTTGTAACTAAAAAGACTTAAGTACTCTAAATGTTTTCCTACATATTTTACAGTACCTGAATCAATTGGACGCCAGACAGATTGTCTGCAGGTTTAAAGTAATAACGTGCCTCACAAAGTAGAGCATTTGCTCCCTACTTGGAGTTTATCTACCATCACGTGCAGGCTGGGATTCCATTTTCAGGCTCTGGCTTCCCAACAAACAAATGTCTTTTATTGCTTCTACAGAACTATAAGTGCTCATGAACTTTTTGAAGCTTTAGAAAAGTGTCCTCAACCAATCTACAATCTTACTTCTTTAATTCTGACTAGAATAAGCTGAAATTATGTATCAAATGAATAAAAACTCTAAAATAAGAAAGTTAATTTTCAATTACTTTGTTTTGGGTACGACTTTGATGCAACTGTTAAAGCAGGTGCAAGGGTGACCTCTTGTGTTACTGTTTTACAATTAAACTATAAAGCTTAAAAAGATTCCTAAGAAAGAATCATTCAACAGAATTTTTATCTCCCCCTTGGCAAAGTCATTTGCGTACATAGCAGCTCATCACATTACTGAACACATTGCTCATGCAACCAACCTCTTACATAACTTATTAACTTGAATTAGCTAAAAACTAGACAAACAGCAATATATGTACAAGACAGAAAAGACACATTGTGCATCGCTGTAGCACCTTCAGTGGAGGTTTTGTTTAAAGCCAAACTTAAGCTACATGAAGTATGTTTGATTAATACTTGAGGACTACTCTTACAATCCTCTGTACGCTTTAAAAACTTTTGTATTATTTTATATTTAGCATTTTACAGTTATTTCAGTTGCTTACGGGTTAACAAATGCACGTATTTATTACAGTAATTTTGCAAAAACCATCTGCTCTTCATTCTGCAAAACTGAACAGCCATCTGTTGTTCTTCAAGTATCAACATTACTACCTAGGCTTATCACCTAGGTAAGTCCTTCACTTTGGACATCCTGAAAATGGCAGTCCCAGGAAGTACAGAAAAAGTATGGTAGTAAGAAAGGCCACTATGCTAGTGTTCTCATGTATTTGTACTTTTTATTATGATTGTAAATTTTAGAACCTCTTCTCTGGAGTATGTAAGATCTTAAGAGTACCTGACTGACTTTTATTTTAAGTATTCCAATTTTAGGGCCCACTGAAAGTACCCAAACTGGTATTCGTAACAAATGAAACCTGTAACATACTTTGAATTTCCAGATGTGTATCATTAGCAACAGTTTAAAGCATTTGTAAAAGTATATACATTTCCTAAGTAAAAACTACGTAGAGTGTTTTAAATCAACAGGTAGCAGCATCGAGTGAGCCAGATGTATTAATAATATTTCAAGTCCTAACTAAGTGAAAAGTATTTAGCCTTTCAATTTGATTTTGTAAAACAAATGCAAATCAAAACAATGCCTTCCACAGCCTTACCTGTGTGTATCCTAACGTGTCGTGTTAACTGACTTGGCTTCTGGAACGTCTTTCCACAGTGAGGACAGGAATAGGTAAACCCACTTCTGTCAATATTTCTGTTGTAAGATCTGGTATTTGATACCCTGCCATTTATGGAGAAAAAAAATACAAAAATATTTAAATAAAATCCTCTTAATCCTAATATTAAACATTATTTTGAAGAAGCCAATTTTACCCCATCATTTTTTAACATAGCATAAATTTGATGACAATTTGTAGCATCAGCTGTGACAGTTAAAAACCAAACTCTTTGATGATACTAAAATAACAGTGTAAATTTCTAAGAATATACAAATCCTATGATTTTTAATTATTTCTGTAACAAAACTGATACTTCTTAGAGGGTCCCTAGAGACATTTTCACTGTAAATTCTCCTAGAAGTATACAGCAACTTTACAAGTACTGTTTTGGTGGCAACTTTCGCCTGTGCAACTTTATTCCTTTTGCCTGAACACAGAAAGACTTTTGCTCTGAACTACAACAGAGAGATCTCATGAACTAGAGCACAAATGTAGTTCCTAAGATCTAACAAAAACAGGTTAAGCATTTACCAACTCAAATATTCACCACTACTCCTCACATACAAATCCCAGTCTCCACAGAGACACAGTGACAGGTGAGGTAAGTAATCCATTTCTCCACAAATAAAACTAATTACTTAAAATGACTGCTGAAAGGCAAACATGGAAAAAACAACTGATAAATGAAAACCTAGGAGATATTAAAAGATCATTACAGTAACTCAGCTAAAAATAGGTGAAACCAGAAGGCAGTGTGGTATCTGTTTCACTCCACGTTTTCCATAGGGCCCAAGTATTCACACCTATGGAGTAACCCAGCTTGTCAGTACTGCTTAAAGCTAACTAAATTGCAGAAATTTAAATACCTGCTGTTTTGCCTCAACAACTGAGAAATGTGAATTAGCTAATGGTAAGTAAATGTACAAAACACGGCTGGCATAACAATATAAAAATTAACAAGAAAGTATCAGTCCATGCATAACATACAAAACCACTGAACTGCTGAAATGATGCATCTTTCTACTCTAAGAGAACCGAGATAAATACTCGGTGTGTGTTAAAGGAAAGAACATTTTCCCTTCCAACAAATTCAAAAGTATTACATGTATTTTTAAAATCTTATTATACTCTTGCAGAGAGAGCACAGAGTTTGGGTAATATATTTTACTTTCACATATTAATTTTATCTATTGAAATTTACTGAAGTATCTGTTTACTGTAAAACACACTGAAGATTGAAGAGTAGGAGAAAGAGCAGTATAGATGTTAGAAGCTCTTCTTTCCATCTCAGAACAGACCTAGACCAGCCCAGCTGTCAGAATATGCTCTCTGATGAGTAACATCTGTTTCAGCTATAGCTGTGGCATTTTAAGGAAGGAAATAATATCCAGTTTGGAGACAACTGTAGGGACAATCCTTCCAGATCAGATCATCTTCTAAAATATTTCATCATTTAGAGTTAAACTAACCATTACAGCAAAAGGCAGATACTAAATCTAAATTACAACTTCATAATAGTTCTCTATTTGAATATTTCAAAGAGAAAATAAAATACCTTTTTAGGAAAGAATAGTGCAACCAATTTACAAAAGAAAACCCTTAAGGGAACAAGGCATTTCAAAATTTATATTCTAAATTTGTTTGAAGCTTATTTTACAATAAAAAGCAGGAATCAAACAGTAAGGTTTCTAATTACCAATGTATTTCTTTTAACTTTATATATAGCCAAAGAGATTAGGTCAAATGTTAAACCCTCCATAATTCATCTGAATATGAGGGGATCACATCAAATAATAAACAAATGAAAAAAGAAGGATATCCATGTTTTCCTTTCAAAATGACTTCTACTGAAACAGAAGGTGGAGCGGGATCACTTTGGCGACTCATTAACCTGCTCGCATACATGGGTTGCACTGGTACTGCTGGTGAGAGGATACCAAAGCCCTGCTATGGACAGCGCCTTCTGAAGTACAAATACAACTGATAAATGAGGTGATTGCCATGTAAGGAAGCTCTGAATCTAGAAATAAACCATTTTTATTAAAATAAAAATAAACAAGTTATCGTGGAGTGTTTGTATCATTTATATCAGAAAATAGCATGTATAATACTCTCTCAGAATCTCATCATAGTATTTTCACTCATCCATTCTTTATTCATTCATCCTAACTCATGCAGGAAATGTCCACAGCAAGAACATCTTTTGCGTATAATACTATATAACAGAAATGCAACCTTGATTTTCAGCTTGCAAGTGGAAATCTACATTAATTTTTTTTTTTTTATACACCTTCTGGAACACAACTGTTAAGCTCTCATGGTCTGCATCATCTGCTAATAATTGGAAATACCCAATATTTTTCATTTTTAAATATATAATTTTATCATCTGTTTTTAATAGAAACAGTAAAGATTAAAGGACAGAACACATTCTAAAACCTTAGGATTTCTTAATGTATAAAATAACCTAATAAAAGTTAGTCTTTCTTCTAACTTCAAGGAGTTTCAATTTTCTTAAAAGTAAAGTTAAACTAGAGAGCTGAAAGAAAGAGTAGAAAAAATTTTCATCAGAGTTAAGAAGAGCGTTTATTGGCCTGGTTTTGCCCTTCATTTTGTGCTTTTTCAGATATACAAGAAACTCACAGCACATTGTGATGAGGACTACTTACAAAAGATGATTAAACTACAAGGAATAACTTATTTATTTGCAGAAGATAAGTATTAGGATTTTTGCAATTATAATAACTGCTATGTAAAATTAATATACATTTGCTTCAGAGTACTGCCATTACCTTTAAAAAAAATCACACAAACACTCCAAAAAGCACTCTGTATCAGAGAAAATTAATCTGTGTTTACAAATAGCTGGCAGATGAAACCATGCTTAGTATGGGTACATAAATACGAAAATAGAAAAAAAAAAAATTATAAGACCTCCAAAAATAACCACCTTAGCAAAGTTTTAAAAAACAAAGCCATTTCCTAACAGCACATCAAAGAAAAGATCAGATCTGCATAGACTATGGTACTTCACTGACTGGAAATGCTACACATGCTTTCCCCAGCTATCCCTGTAAAAGTAACATCTGCTCATTTTGTTACAATCCCATGATTATCACCTTATTTTATAGTGAGTTTTCATATGCTCCTTTAGCTGTGAAGAAGTTTCAAATTCCTTTTTGCAAGATTTGCAGCTGTGGATCCTACTGCCTGCCAATTCTTGACGATGTTCTTCCATGTGTATGGAGAGCTGACTCTGTAACGTAAATTCATCTCCACACTCTGAACAGATAAGATTCTGAAAAAGATAATACTGATTTTTCAAAAGATTCCCAAACAGCAGTTCACATGCACAAGCTTTGCTCAAGTAGATGAATGTATCCTTCTATGGACATTGGCAGCTGGAAGCAAGCTGCAATAAATGTATACAGGCAAAAAAAATTTATAAGCCACATAATATAAATCATGAATAATAATCACTGCAAGCTCATGGTAATATTTCTATTTTCAGAAATTTCACTGAAACTGAATTATGAGAAAAGTTCATAAGGTAGTGGAAACAAGCAGTTCAGGATCATCATCACCACTCCCTACTTTCTTGGTAAGCTACATCAAGATATGCATGTACCTGCCATTATATTACCGTATACATGAACATTTGTAAAAAATACTACTTCCTAACTAAAAGCATCTCAATTGTAGATTCAGGGATTTTACACTTCTACTGATTAAAATGGTACAAACTTTTTAACAGTAATCCTACCACAGTTACTACTGACTTTTCTTAAGCTATCTTCACAGAAAAGATGACAGAAATAAATAGAGCCACATAACATTTTTGACAGATATAACTTCAGCCCATTAATTTTACAGCAGTTTTATTAGTATTCCATGTCACTTAGAATGGAAATTATACTTGCAAAGTTTAATCCAAAAGCATTGTCATTTCTCTAAAATTCAGTAAAGAATCAAAGTCAAATATTGTTTCAATGAAAACTAAAAGCTCTGCATTTATTTGCCTTCCGTTTGCTTTTCAACACCATTGATTTAATTTCTCAGTGTATCTCTAAGATCTAAGCAGAGAGTTAAGATTAAATGAATTGCCATAGAGATGGTGAATATATTTTTAGACATCTGTTACATGTTCCTTACTGGTGTGTGTAAGAAGCTTCAGATAGGTTTTGTCTCTTAATTTTTCAGTAATTGTGATTATCACTGCAAATGAAAATGGTTTTTATTCCCCCCTTGCCTTGTTTTTTTTTTTCCCCTGCTTCAATAATCAACAGGGGAAAAAAAAACCAAGTCTTCATTTAAATAAAGATATTGACAGGACTGTTTTAATCAAGAGAAATAAAGATATGAAGTGCTATTTTTTAAATGCTTTGACAATGTATTTGTTCCCTAACAAAAATTCTGCAATACTGCTGGACATTTCCATATGAAAACTTAAATATCTAAAGTCCTTTAATGAAATAAAATTCTACGTCAAAAATTATTTGTTTAATCTAACCTAGAGATCATTATTACTGACTCAAGTTAATGTGGAATAATAAATAAATAAATACTGCTTTATTTTCCAGGATCAACATTCAAATTCAAGTAAGAACACTTCTCACTGAAAAATACTGCTTATATTAGGAATTTGGTTTATGATTATCCTTTTGTATAAGTGTGGGGAAATTACCTTAAGAGCAGCTTACAATGTATACTATATCAAACTCATGGTCCCCCAAATTGAGAGTTTATCAATTGCTTCTCAGCTTTTTTCAGACACACATGATCTATGACATTGTTATCACACATACTGTTAAGCAACTTCCACAAACAAAACAATAGCCAAGGAAGTATTTGAGAAAGTCTATTTTTATTCGTTACTGTAGAAGAGCAAGGATATGGTAAAACAGAAATACTGTACAAAAAACCAGCAATATATTAAGCCAAATAGCCTCTCTCTGGAACAGGCAGTACCAGAATTGCCCATCAAACAAAAAATCTCCCACCACATACAGGAGAAGTAATTGCACATTGTTAACCTTACTGTGGTTAAATCCATCTTCCAACACTAAACAGAAGGAGCTGTTCATACATTACTAGACCACACTTAAAATTCCCAAACTTTGAAATAATTTTATAAAGCTTTAGTCATCTAATTCCACCTGTATTAACTATTGTTAAGACAGATGATGCAGTATCTGAAGGAACACTTTGCAACTCGGCATCTTCAACTGTTCAGTATCAGTGACCCTAAAAGAAGACTTTAATTTGCACTTTTTTTAAAGACTGTTGCTCCCAAATTATAAAACAGGATAAATCAAACACAGTGAAAATTATTTTTAGAAAAAGCAAACAGAAAACACCACATCCAGGATTTTTTTTAAAATGGCGTTTTCACTTTGTATCCACCAAATATCAGCTTAAACTGCTTCAACGTATTAAGGTTTTCCTGAAGCCCAAGAAAAACTCATGCTCTAGGAGAAAGAAGACATATTAGCAGTTTTCGTGCAATAAATTAAAATATTTCAGTTTGTATTTAACATTCTTTTTTCACCAAGTCAAAAAGTAGCAGAGGCTATAGCTGTTCATTTCCACTGAGGAAAGGACAAAACCCAAGAAACCTCTACAAGGTTGGGCATTATTTACACAAGGTATGTTTTTCATAACTTCTTAAGAGAAATCTACCTCAAAGTGAGGAAATTCAAACATTTGGGTTTTTTTCCATTACACCAGTTTATCACACTCAAATAACGTAATAAAGTGAGGAGAAAAGTTAAATCTCTTGCATGCTCAATTTCAAGAGCCCAGAAAATTCTTTCTGGAACCTTTCACAGAAGCAATCAATCACCAAAAAAATAAAATCTGCATTTCAGCACAGTCTCTCCCAAATCTAATTGGAGAGCCAAGAAGCTAATCACACTAGTTTCTTGTAATTGGCCTTCTGCACTCATCTATAGATAAAGCTGGCTGATGCAATACAAAACAAGGCTGAAGTTATCCAAACCTCAACTTCGTGCAGCACTCTCCTCAACTGCTACATATGTTCCCTAAGTATCTTTGCTCTGTTCTCAGATTTTACACCTTTCTAACAGCAAAAGTAAAAATAATAAAGCAGAGGGAGAATGTATTTCACTGATAACTTCTAATCCTGCACATTATGAAAAACTCCTGAATGACAGCTAGTGCCACTGTCAAGACCTTCTACTTCAAGTTCAAATTCTGTTGAACTATTCTATTCCAAAAAACTATTGGAAAAATAATTCTTGCAATTCTCTGTGAATTATGTTAATAACTTTTATCACAGAATTATAGTGCATTACAAAAATACATTCAGTAGCAATTGAAAGGTGTTCATATTTTTCTATATTTAGTTTTTAGACTGTAGACTGAATTTTAAATTTGAAGGCATCACACAACCTGTTCTGATATCTGCACCAAGAATGAAAATCAGAGCTGCTGAAATGGATGAAAAAAATCACTTAGTGAGAGAAATTAATATAAAAATGACTCTTAGGCATCTTTCTTGATGCCCAGTTTCCTTATTCTGATATTTTTAACAATTCATAAATCAAGTTTCCTCAATAAATATCCATTGGGATACAAACACTTAGAGATACGCTAACATAAAACAGAACTGTACGCAAGTCTTCTTGTTTTAACTCAGTTGTGTATGTGATAAAACATGAACTGATAACAAGATTAAAGCAGTAATACAGTCTCTACAGATTACATTCTCTGCCTGGTTTAGTGAAAAACGCAAATAGGTCTATCATCCCAAACCTACTGGTCAAAACTGCTGCAAGCTGTCTGAAGTTGGTATGGAGAAACAAAATTATCCTGTTTATGGTTGAAAGTCTGGTAGGAAAGTGGATATTTGAGTCACTTCCAGTTCTCCAACACAAAGTGGAATTTTAAAAATGGGTTCGCAGGAAGAAGAGTAATTACACGATTGAAAACTTGGTATTTTAGGCAGTATAATCCACTCTGGCAACTGCAATAACACAGTAATAATTATAAAGTGTGCAAAATATTACTATGCATTAACTGTTTGCTAAGAACTTAACCAACGTCTTATAAAAATGGAAAACTAAATTGTAAGGGGGAAAGGAACAAGAAGTCCTCTCAAGCAAAATAACCACTCAAAAAAAAAACCCAATAAAAAGGAGTGGGAGTTCTAAATAAGGGAACAGCTTCATAATGCAAGAAATAGATGGTGAGAATGCCTCACCATGATATCTGCCATCAGAAAAGATCACCCAGACTACTACATGTGGGCTTATCAACGTACGTGAAGTAACAGAAATTGCTTCAAAATAAAGCTGTTTCTAAAAAACTAATCAGTTAATAAAGGCAGGATGGGAACACTTGCTTATATCCAATGTATTAATTTCTGCCCCTATAAAACAGACTCCCCACTAGAGGCTTTATAGTTTCTCTGAAAGAAACATTTATTCAATCCTCCAACCTAGAGCATACCTATAAAGAATTAAGTGCAACCATTACAGCATGAATTTTCAAAATTTAAATTATGAGTTTTAACAAATTACCTCCTCTTTCTCATGTAGCATTATATGGGCTTTCAGACTGGCTACTCTGGAGAATTTCTTGTTGCACACAGGACACGTAGGATCTTCACCATTGTGGGTACATTTATGAAGTGTCAAGTTGAATTCAACATTAAATGACATCGGACACTGGTCACATCGGTGAGGCTGTTTGTTAAAACCACCAAAATAAAGACAAAATTTAATGTTCCCATACAGTATCTATACCCAACATATAGCCGTACAAATCAAAATGTTTAAAATAAAAAGCAATTCCAGCACCTACATACTATAATGATCCTTAATAATATCAGTCTTAATTATTTTCTCTTCTTTGCATGCCACTCCTGAAAATGCAAATACAGCACTTCAGGAGCACATGGGGAAAGGTGGCAGTGGAACTCAAGAAAGCAGACTCTAAACTGAGACTGTCCAAGGAGAGTGAAGTTAGCAGCAGAAAAGAAGCAGCAAGAGACAGAAATACAGTTTTCTACTTTAACCAAGATTTTGGACTCTCCTTACAGCAAAATTAATAATTGAACCAGCAAAGAGCTTAGTTTATGCTGGGACTGGTTGCTCTTCAGTTGGTATCTGCACATTTTTCACTAAGAGCACCTGCACTATACACAAGTGTGCAAAGCATGGTTTCAATCACATCAATTCTACAATATTGAAACTGGTGTAAGTAGTTCTTTGTATACATGAAGTATCATCTCAAAGTCCTACATCTTGTAAAATTTAATCTGTCTCTGCAGCTATCTCAAACAGTAATGACATTTTTCCATCACATGTAAAGTAGTTTCAGCTTTCTGGAATAGAAAGTAAAGAACAGAAATTAAAAGCTTCATAATTCAGATGAAACCTGTGGCAAAAGTTTAATTTAAAAAGTCAATCCACCCTTAACTACGTATCTGTATTTCTCTCATTCTTTCCCAAATTTCACTTGTAAGCAGCTAAGGTGATGACAGTTTACTGACTAATACTAAATTAGGTTGCTTGGCATTATTGAAAACAGCCATAAGAGAGTAGTGGTGTCCAGTTAATCAATATAAACATTATTTTCTTGTTATTGCTGGCACATACAATCAGTTTGCAAAGTCAATTAAAAGAAACCCATACATTTTCTCACCTACCTGAATATTTTGGAAACCAGAGAAAATGGCTAACACTAAAAACTACTGAACTGGAAACAACTACTTCACTAAATGGCATCAAAGCAAGGTCCTGTCTCAAAGGAAACATGAAGAAGCATGAATGAGAAACTTCATAAAACTCTGAGGTTCCCAAGCAATAATCATCAGTGAGGTGATTAAAAAAACTGAAAATTATTTGTTGTGTTAGCTTTACTTGTCAGTATATGGAAATAGCAACATACATTGGTATTTTCTAAGTTTGTATCTACTAAAATTCATACCTTGTCATTTTGCTCATGATCCCTCATATGGCGCTGGAACTGGGTCTCTTTTGGAAAAGACAGCAAACAGATCTCACACTTATGGAAGTTAGGTACTTGGTAGGGAAAATTACTGTTCTCTATATTTGGTGTCAGAACATCATCTACAAAACAAGCATCAAAACACTCGCATGAAGTCACATTTAATTTACTTCTAATTTATTGTGAAAACCAGAATTCTCTGAAGCAGAAACTTTTTCAAACTCCTGTAAGATTTTGACTTACACAAGATTCTAACTTCACTGGATCTTGAAGATCTTGGACACAAACATTCTGCTTCCACTGACACAGGATCAAAGGAATATATCCATCCCTCTAACTGCCAGCTGCTAAGGTGATACGTAATCTTGCCCTAGAAATTTGAAATAAATTCTATCTGTGCTTCGTCAACACCCATCAAGTTTGCAACAAAAAATGCTGCTAAATACACTAGTTATGAGCAAGATACTGTCAGGGGTTACTTTTAATAATATTATATCCCGTGCTCCTAAAAAGAACTTTTTACTATGACATACTCAGTAGTTCTGACAAGGCAGGTTTCGTGCCCTTCCATGCTCCTTTCTCATTTTCTTTAAGCAAAATTTAGGCATCTTTTCTTTCAATTTCTGGCAATGCAAAACCATTATTAGTTATCTTTACAGTTGCAAAACCAACATCACTGTTTCAAATAGCCAAGAGATGCAATAAGCTGCAAGTCAAACTATGTACATACGAATCCAATGGAGAAAAGTTGTTTTTTTTTTATAGAAAGACTCCAAACCTATAAAATTTTCTTGGTTTTAACTCACAGTCACAGAACTTTTGTTATACATGTTGCAAGCTTCCATAACCTCTTGCTCAAACGTCTGAAGCCATTCCTATTAATATTTTCCTTACTATCTTTAATATTTATCCAAATAAGTTAAATACATTTTACACTTGAGAAGATACTGTATTATGAAGTAATTTATCCTTATTTACAGAATCACTTTAAGAAGAGCAATTGGCAATGGGTTTAAAGTATGTAAGATCATTCACAGCAGTATTAATAAAATGAAAATAATAATGAACTGCCTGGTGCTACAGATCAAGGAAACTGAAGAGAAACAAACCATAGAACTCAGTTTCAAACACTGTCACAACTCAACAAAACATAACAACAGAATGCAACAGGATGCAAAAAATAAAGGAAACATTGATTTTATTATCTAGACACACAAGCTCTGAGTTTCCCTTTAAGAATGTAAATACTTCTCAGCACCTATGTAAGAATTAGGCATAGGAAGTAACAACACAGACAGAAGTTTACAGTATCCTGTTTACATTTCCTCAGAGGAAATCAAACATTATGATTCAAAGTATTTCTGCTCAGTATTGCACCTACCTCAAAGTCCTGCCTCATTCAACACACCATTTACAAGGAAAAAGAAAAAAAAATTAAAATAATTTAAATAATTTAAAAACAACTTGCATCCTGACCACCTTTTTTCCTGCTTAAATTCTCATTAAAAAATTCAGGAAGCTCTAGGAAACACATCAGCACAAGATATTCTGGGTGAGAAATCACAACTAAACTAAATGTCTTGGGACTTATACCTCCCACTTCTGGACTAAGTTGCCAACTAAACTTTTGCTCTGCTGAGTTTAGTTATGCATCTTTCTGTTACAGAGAAATACTTTGCTTAAGTATCACAAATCTTTAACATATAAACACTTAGACCTACTGCATCCTGTAAAGAACCCTGAACTGTGAAGCGACAGTATATGCAAACCCTGCCAATAACAGGTATCCTTTCCAGTCCTAAATTGGCCACAACTCTTCCAAAAGCTGAAAAGCACAGCTTCAATTAGAAGACATTGTCCTTAAGTATCCTTCTGAGAAATATACCCAAGTAGAATAAAGGGCACAAAATTAGTTCCTGTAAATATTGGCATGACAAAAAAAAAAAAAAAGGACATGAAAGAAAAATCTACTCCAGTACTTCATAGAATCAGAGAATGGTTTGTGTTGGAAGGGACCTGAAAAGGTTATTTAGTTCCAGCCCCACTGCCATGGGCAGGGACACCTCCCACTAGACCAGGTTGCTCAAAGCCCCATCCAACTTGACCTTGAACACATCCATGGAGAGGGCATCCACAGTCTCTCTGGGCAATAAGTGCCTCACCACCCTCACAGTGAAGAATGTCTTCCTAATATATAATCTAAAACTATCCTCTCACAGTTTAAAGCCATTATCCCTTGTTCTGTCACTACATGTCCTTGTAAAAGTCCCTCCCCAGCTTTTCTGTAGGTTTCCTTTAGGTACTGGAAGATATACAGTCTCCTCAGAGCCTTCTCTTCCCTGGGCTGAACAACCTCAACTCTCTCAACCTGTCCTCCTTGGAATGGTGCTCCAGCCATCTAATTATCTTCATGGTCTTCCTCTGGATGAGCTGAAGCAGGTCCACATCTGTTTTATGCTGAGGACTCCAGAGCTGAACATAGTATCCCAGGTGGGAGTCTCACAAGAGCAGAGTAGAGGGTGACAATCGCCTCCCTCGACCTGCTGGGCATGCTTCTTTTGATGCAGTCCAGGGCATCATAGGCTTTGTAGGCTGCAAGCACACATTGTAGGGTCATGTTAAGCTTCTCATCAACCAACATCTTCAAGTTCTTCTCTTTAGGGCCGCTCTCAATCCATTTTCCATGCAGCCTGTATTTGTGTTCGGGGTTGCCCCAACCCATATGCAGGACCTTACACCTGGCCTTGTTGAAATTAAGGAGGTTCATGGGCCCACCTCTCAAGTCTGTCAAGGTCCCTCGGGATGGCATCCCCTCCCTCCAGTGTGTCAACCACATCACACAGCTTGGCATCATCCACAAACTTGCTGAGGGTGCACTCAATTCCACTGCCCATGTCACCAACACAGATGTGAAACAACACTGGCCCCAGCACCAATCCCCAAGGAACAACACTTGTCACTGGTCTCCACCTGGACATCTTCTGTAACATTTAAAGTATTTGAAGTGCTGGAGTTAAACCCCTAGCCCTGAATGAGGGTTAGCATATGGATGATGTCCACAACCAGGCTAGAAAGACCCTCCTGATTGGTTTTTCACCCAGGGACTGGACAGTCTTGAGTGGGAACTGATGAGGAGATCACCACCAGGTGCCCCCACCTTCCACAGTAACCTGATGACAGGGCAAGAAGCCACCTCTATAAGAACCAACTCTGCTTGCAGTGGGGTTGGGAGGCTTGCCCCCACAGTGCATGTTCTGTGTGGGTTATTGAAAGGGCTGCCCAAGGCTTCAGAGCAAGTGGAGCTCCCAGGATGGTGGGGCAAGATGATGAGTCTCTCTCCTGGCCGTTGCTACAGATTGGGATTGGACTGATCACCTGGGTCCTTCCACCTCCCACAGCACGGTTCTGCAGTCAGCTCACTCCCCTCTGCACACCCTGTGCTTGGAGTGTGTGCATTGACCAGTTCCTCCTTCCAGTGGTCTGGCACCCTGGATCACTGGTGTGTGATTGGGAGGGAGGACTCTGGCTGCTGGTTTGCCTGTTGATGATAATATCCTTCTTAGTTGGGCAAGCAGTCAGCAGAAGAGTACTGCACTTTCAAAGGAAACCATTTTAACTCTTTGCAAAGCCAAATGTTACACTTTTTTGGTTCTATCTTTCATATTGCTAAATAGCAAAAGACAGATGTTTGGGAAGAAGGACTGGACCTTAGAATCAGCAACTGGACTATACAGTCCAGCCTGAATAAAGCTGCTTTGCAGAGGACTCTTACTGCAGAAATGCATCTCAGGGCCTTTAAGGATAAGGCAGAGCACATCAGTTTAGCTTAGATTCTAGAAATCTTCAAAGGCTCAACTATTGGAAGATAAGGCTGAAGGCTGCTTTCAGTGTTTCCAGTCAGTATGAACAGAAAACCAGTCCAGTTGAGATTTAAGAGAAGTCTGAAAGTTCTGCTGTTTCACTCACAAAGGGCAGGACTGAGATCTAACACAGATTAGAACTAAAACACATTTATTCATTAATACTATGTCTGAACTAGCTTAAGGGAAAAGACAAGACTATGATAGATAATATTTTTTCACTTATATTCTCACTAAAATACAATTTGGTCCTCTATTACCAGCCAAATACTGTGTGATTCTGAGAGTTGCACAGCTCCCTTTCTGAAAGATGTAGGAAGTGAATATCTACTTTACTCTTCCAGTAGTAACAAAGAATATTCAAAATACTATCCCTACTGAAATCAAGCAATTAGTAACAGCAAGGACAAAACTTATGTTGTGTTTAGAAGGAAGAAAAACAGAAAAGATTGTCCATTGAAAAAGTACCAAGGAACTAAGATGTATTTTAACGTCAGGCAGGTGTTGCAGACTCATAAAGTATGACTTGAGTCTGTCTACATTTCAGTGTAAAAATGAAGCGACAGGTTTTTGTTAAAAGAATTACAAAGACATTATTTACACTGATACCTCTGTACTGTCACAAACCCAAGTAATAACCTACATTACTGTATTTCAGAGAAATCGGCAATAAAACCCACTTGTGCAATTGTCTTTCCTTATAGGAGAGGAAAACATGCTTTTAGGTGCTTCAGCCTGGATCATGAAACAACACAAATGCTGCAAAATACTTAAAGGACCCAAAACCACACAGAGGATGCCAATTCAAGGAGATGTCAGTGGGATAGGGATCCTGTACTTTTAAATGCACTGAGAAATGTCTTAATTTCAAAAAGACAACAAGGCTAAACATTTCCTGTGTACCAATGGGAAACAAAAATACTGACAAATATGACATAGCATTTGATGGTCACCACTCATTCATCAAAATAGCAAGCCTGTCATAAACAGCTAATATGGCATCTATGTTCTCCAAAAAATATATTAGGTACACAGGCTAAGCAATTTATTGGCAGATATACTCTGCCCAGACGAAAACACCAGTGTGGTGTCTAACAGAAGAGCATTCAAGCCAACACACAGAATGCTTTCAGTTTTAAAAAACTTCTAGTTTTTGTTTTACAGAAGACATTAGCTGATTATGCATATGATGCCAACAAAATCACACAAAAAAGAGACATACTCATACTAGAGAGAAGCTATTTACTAACATCTACACAT